TCCTACGTTGGAGGAAGAGAAAAAAAATACCACATTACAAAATTAAGCCTACTATAAACATCTGTTCAGATCGTTCTCTCCCTTTTTTAAAGTTTTTGTGAACTTTAAAATGCCCTTAACTCTTTGGTTAGCATAATCTGATTCTAAAAGCAACATATTCCTAAAAAAAGAAAAACCTGAGTCATCGTTTCTAGATTTAAAGTTAGCACTAGACAAGAAAAGAAAAAAAAAAAAACTAAGCCAGCAGCCTCCTTCAGATTAGGTAATATACATATGTTATAGGGCAGCCCCAATACAAAATGGGTTGCCTGACTGTGGGTCCTCACCCACGCGCTTAAAAGGACTTATCAATGCTCTACTGCAGGCACACGTGAAAGGTTAATAAAAGGTTTATTTACAAGGGCAGGGGAAATGAGGAAATGTACAGCTCAGGGAGAAAAGTGGGAGACAAAGTTTTAAATGAGTCCTACCTGATCCACCGATCAGGAATCCCAAATGGCGCTCTGAGAGCTGGCAGCGAGCCAGGAGCCGTGAAGCCAGGAGGCGAGTGACAGCGAGCCAGCCCAAAGCCCACGTGTTTGGTTTTTATACCCAACCTGGCTGCCCAACTCCACCCTCAGGTCCCAGCCACCTCCCCTTTGGTGGTGACGGGATGTGTCTTTCCCAATGTCTTGATGGCTTTGGTCTGGGGTGGAGGTGGAGTCCACAAAGCCTGTATGGGATTAGCTCAGGACATCATTTCCCCCTAACACATAGACAAAAGAGATTCAGTTATCTATTCAGTGAAACAGACATAACAGATTCAGTGAAGTAAAACAATCATTTCATTGTGCTCATGGATTTTTTTTAAAACTTTATACTTTAAAAGCAGTTTTCTGTTTACAAAACAAAATTAGGACAAAGACACATAATTTCTGTATACCACCTGCCCCCACAAAGGAATAGCCTCTTCCTCCAATCGTCATCACTCACCAGGACCGTATATTATTTACCAAGGATGAACCGACATTGGCAAAATAAAATCACCCAAAGTCCACATTTTATATTAGGGCTCATTCTTAGTGTACATTCTGTGGATTTACACCCAAAAAGTAACACATAGAATATTTAACTGTCCTAAAGGCCCCTGTGCTCTACCTATTCATTTCTCCATCACCCCCATCTGGCAATCACTGATCTTTTTACTGTCTCCACAGTTTTGCCTTTTTCCAGAATGTCATAAAGATGAAGTCATATACTATGTAGCCTTTTCAGACTGACTTTCACATAAAACGCATTAAGTTTCCCCCATGTCTTTTCACAGCTTGATAGTTAAATTCCTTTACCTACTGAATAATATTCCAACATTCAGACAACATTTTCCAAATATACCATACTTTATTAATACATTCATTTATTGAAAGACATCTTAGTTGCTTCCAAAATTTGACAATTTATGAATAGAGCTGTTATAAGCATCTGTGTGGAGATACATTTTCAAATCCTTGGATAAATAGGGCCTCCCCGGTGGCGCAGCAGTTGAGCGCTGGGTTGCGAAGCTGCCCGCGGCCTCTGCGGCGCCGGCTCGATCCCCGGCTGCTCCCCGGCCACCGGAGGAGGGTCCCACATGGCGCGCAGACCTCTCCTGCCGCCTGCTGCCTCCCTCAGCAGTGTACTTCGGTCCTTCTGCCTGCTGCGCAGACCTCTCCTGCCGCCTGCTGCCTCCCTCAGCAGTGTACTTCGGTCCTTCTGCCTGCTCTGCTCCCCGCTCTGGCTCTGGTGAATTCTCTCACCCTCCCGTGCTTCTGACTGTACCCAGTGCATGTATAAACAAAACAAACAAACAAACAAACAAATAAATAAATAAATAAAACATGCCTCTATTTAAAAAAAAAAAAAAATCCTTGGATAAATAATAAGGAATGTGATTGCTGGATCGTAAAATATGAGTATGTTTTGTTTTATAAGAAATCACCAAACTGTCTTACAAAGTATGTCTTTGAATTCCCACCAATGTTAGTTACTTTTGCTCTATGTTCTAGTCAGCATTACATGTTGTCAGTGTTCCCAATTACGGCCATTCTAATAGGTGCACAGCATTATCTCCTTGTTTTAATTTGCACTTCCCCAAACAAAGGGTGTGGAGCATCTTTTGATATGCTGATCTGACACATCTTCTTTGCTGAGGACTATTAAGGTCTTTGATCCACTGCATTTTTCTTTTCTTATAGTTTACTTTTAAGAGCTCTTTATACATTTTGGGACACAGTCCTTTTTCAGAGTTGTCCTGCAAATATTTTCTGCCAGTCTGTATTTTGTCTTTTAATTCCCTGAGGTTCATGGATACTTCAGGCCAGGAATTAGGACAAGACAGAGCAGGAATGGCTCACGTCTGGTCCACAAGTCTACAGTCTCTTTGGGACCCAAAGAGTCTTTTCTTTATTCTTCTATTTTCTGGAATTTAACAATGGAACATCATTAATTTAATGACCAGGAAATAACTATGTAAATTTTATAGATTATCTTAGGAAGAACAAGCAAAAGACCCATTGCCCTTTTAAGTAAGCGATTTGTTTAAAAGAGGCCAGGTAGCAAAATGGAGATACTGAAGATTCTGAGAGAAATGCAGCCAGCAAGCTCCAGACTTTGGCTAGGACAGATGACACTGGGGAAGATAATGAAACTGAGCAAACCCAGAAAGGGATGACCAATTGGTGGGGCCTCACCAACTTGCAAGTACAGGGCACAACTCCCAAAGAAGACACACGGTGTGAAACTACAGTATCAGGATTTATTGACTAGGGCATGGGGAAAAGACTATGGATGGAGAGGGAGGGAGGGAAGGAGACAGAGTGTAAGAGAGACAGACAGACTAGGTTAGCACATGGCCAGCCGTGGCTTGTCCTACCATAGATCATGTCCACTGAGCAGAGACCAAAATTCATGTGGCAAGCTGGCAGCTTCTACAGACACCCCTTCTCACTAGCAGTTTAACTGTCAGAAGCTCAGCAGCTTAACTGACAGGAGTCCCAACAGATTAAATACCAAAATTTCTAGTAGTTTAAGTGCCCAAAAGTTCAGTGGTTTTAACTACCAAAAGGTCCCCCCAAAGCCCCAAAGCCTCAGCCCAGTGCCATTTCCCATCAGTCCCTACTTAGGGGGTGGAGAGTGGAAAGCTCTAAACTACCAGGCAGTTGACAAGAGGCAGTAGTCTAGAGAGCTCCACCTTCTACCATGGAGTTGGCTATGAGTGCCTCCCACTGGCTGGGCAGTGGCTCCCCACTGTTCCTCTTAGAATCACCTTCCCTCAGTAACTCTAGGAGAATTCTAGGTTAGGGGTACTCATTTTTGCAGGCCTACCTGCCCGCTTGGTCATTACGGATAACTTCTCAGGTGGCAGAGGCTGACAATTCAAATAGTAAATGCAGGGCCCCTGGAGTCAGAGACCAAGGTTAGAATCTCTGCCGGTAGCCAGCTCGATGAGCTCAAGCAAATTATTTAACCACCCGAATCAGGTTTCTCATCTGTAATGTGGAAAACTACCTACATTTTAGAATTTTTATGCAGAGCAATGGATACAACATAGGTTATGAACTTAGTACAGTGCCTGCCCCTCAGAAAATGACAATTATAGGAGCCATTTGTATATCAGATTGAGATGTCCATATTTACACGGTTTATAGTTTTCACTAAAAGGCTTAAGCACATAAAAAGTTTGGAATGTCAGCCTTTTGAAATTTAAATGAGTGCGAGTTTTCAATACAGGTTCCAAATGCAGGAAGGATAGTCAGTATTTGCAACTCTGTTTACAATTATCTTTAGGGGACCTCCACAGTTATCTTTAGGGGGCCTCCCTGGTGGCGCAAGGGGTTAAGCACCACACTATGAAGCAATCCTGCAGCCACTGCAGCACGAGTTTGATCCCCGGCCCGGCCAGGGAGCTACCCACATGGTGCAGCAGACCTCTCCTGACTCACCCACTGCTCCCCTCAGCAGTGTACTTCGGTCACTCTGCCTGTTCTGTTCCCCACTCTGTCACTCGTCTCGGTGAATCCTCTTACCCCCCCCCCCCATCTCTGGTCTGTACCCCAGCTCTTGTGTGCATAAATAAATAAATCTTTTAAAAAAAAAATTTCCGTAGCATGCTCTTTCTGCAGGATCCCGAAGTAACTAAGCAGCCCTACTCCTACATTGTAGCAACTGAGCAAAAACCCGGCAGCCGTGGTCTACCCGTCCTGTCTCCTGACTCCAGCGGGCTCCGCGTCTGCTCCCAGGGAGACTCAGAGCTCTTCAGCGTAGAAAATGGCTCGGCTGGAAGGTAACAACCTGCCTCTTCCCCAGGCCTCCTGAGAGCCGTAATACAGCCAGCAGAGGACTGTGGCAAGTGTTCCTCGGGTGTTCTCCAACAGCTGTCGCAGCTTCCAGCATCCTTCTCCCCGCCCGCGGCCCAAGCGGCGAGCATCCTCGAGTCCCCCCTCCACCTGTCTGCTCACCTGGAACCACATCCCTGCAGCCCCGCCCTAAGCCCCGCCCCCGGAAGCCCCGCCCCGCCAACGACCAATCAGAGCGCGCTCAGGGAGCCGGATGGGGCGGGCCCATGTGGGCGCTGCCGACGAATCACCAACCTCACACAGCGGGGGCGGAAGCGGAAGTCCCGCTTTGGCCCGGGCTTCCGTCGGGCTGTCCCGCGGGAGAGTGTGGACATCCTGGGGCCGGCGGGCTGGCGTCCTCGCCCCCTTCCTGGCCGCAGCCTCGGGCTTAGACACGCCGGCGAGCGCGGGAGGAAGCCCGGCCGGCTGCCCAGGGACAGCGCGAGCGGGCAGGCGGCTGCGGGGCCGGAGCGAGCTGCGTGCCGGGTCCCCCGAGGCCGGCCCCGGTGCCGCCGCCCTCCCCGAGGCCATGGTGCCGGCGGAGCCCCGGGCCGTCCCCAGGTGAGGGCCGCGGCCCGCCCGGCTCCCCGCGCCCGGAGCGCCGCCGCGGAAGGCCCGGGTGCATGCGGGGTGCGGAGGAGAGGATGCTGCCCGCGCTGCCCCCCGGTAGCACCCCGAGCGGCCGCGCTTGCGGCGGCAGCAGCTGCGGAAAGCACAGCGCAGGCCAAGGAGGCGACTCGAGCTGCTGGTGAGGTCGCCCCACGGCCCTCCCCGGGGCATGCAAGTTGACAAACCAGCCCAAGAACAGGGCTCCCCACTGCTGTCTCCCTGGAGCTCTCTTCCCCTGCGCTACGGAGCTGACCTATGCGGAAACATGCCTTGCACCTGCACCTGGAGGAACTGGAGGCAGTGGATTCGGCCCCTGGCCGTGGTCGTCTACCTGGTGTCCATAATGGTCGCCGTCCCCCTGTGCGTGTGGGAGCTGCAGAAGCTGGAGGTAAGAGGCTCCTGCACAAGCGGCCGCCACTCTTGCCTCTGCCCGTCCGAGGCTGCAGGTCCTTATCCTGGACCCCCCCAGACTGGGATCCTGAAGACGGTGCCTTGTAAAGGAGCCACGCACCCCGGCCTGGTTTCTTGTTCAGGGTCTTTCAAAACAAGCTACTAGCGGGACGAGGGTGGGGGCTGAAGGGGGGCGGAATAGGGTGTGTTAAGATAGAGCTTAGGTGCGACATTGTTTTGCAGGTGTTCTTCGGTTTCCTGAAAGCAAGGTAATTTTATTCCTGAAATCTGATCTCTTCAGATACTGGATTTAACTAAACCAAGTAAACTAGCTGGAAAACCCTGTCAAGAATTTTACTAGCGTTTAACGAACTTCCTGGATTAAAGGATTCTAAATGGTTTAACTTTGTTGTTCGTTTTTACTTTAAAAATTTGCTCTTAACCAACAAAGGTTTTGCAAAGTCTCCTGCTTAGTTTTGATGTCATCTTGTTATTATGACATCAATAAAGTATTACAAACTGGGAAACCCCAAGGAAAATACCTAACAAAAATTATAAAATGAGCTTTCATTTTGGAGTTAAAAAGCCAGAAAATACTTTTTACTTACAAAACCAGTTTTACCGGTACTATGACTGAGGAGACTGTGGCTGTTTTAACCACTTTGTTATGGAAAAGATTTTTACGTAACTAAACAATGTGTTTAGCATACATTTATTTTCTGTATGTTCATTAAATTATTTTATGTTGACTTTCCATACTGGCATAGTCCGTATAATTATTTTTACTTTTAATATAATATTCCACTACACTAAATATCTTCCATTTGTCACATATTTAACTTAATTCTATAATTTTCTACCAAAATTTAAGTAAAGATATTTCAATACAAATGAAGATCTCTTTTAAGTAATTTTGAGAGTATACTATAGAAACTATTTTTTACATATGTATTTTACTAATTTTGTTTTCCTGCCCGTTGTGTGATACTTGCATTAATAAATGATTATTTGAGTTCCAGTGATAAGTCAGGCTTATCTTCCGTATGGTGAGAGAAACAGCACCTACCTTTCTGGAATTTAGTGGTAGAGACTCACACAACCACCAAAAACAGGTCAATGAAATAAAATTGAATAAAATACTGTGGAGGAACTTTAAAAAATCTAAGAAATGAACTGGCTGGGCAATCTTATTGCACATTTTGAAAGATCACTCTGCCAGCAATGGGAAATGGAGGGAAGTTAGAAAGCTCTTTATGGTTGGTAAGAAGAGGTGGTACCCGGGTTCCGATGACGCATGGCCCACGTCAAGAAAACAGACTCAGAGTCTCCTTGGAATGAAGAAGCAGGAGTTGGCAGTGGGTTGGTTTTGGGGGGAGAAGCAGTGAGAGAGTAAGAAACCAAGGACCAATCTGAGGTTTCTGTCTTGGACAGCAGGTAAATGGTGTCAGTTACTGAAGTAAGTGTGTGTGTGTGTGCGTGAGAAAGAGAGAGAGAGGGATTTGTCACAATAAAGATGATATTTAAACCCTTAAGGAGAGATGAGATTATAATGGGGAAGAAGTAAAAAAGACTGAAGAGAGTATCAGCAGCCACTGCAGCACAAGTTTAATCCCTGGCCAGGGAGGTGACCCACATGGCGCAGCAGACCTCTCCTGTCTCCCTGCTGCTCCCCTCAGCAGTGTGTTTCAGTACATCTGCCTGTTCTGCCCCCCACTCTGTCTCTGGTGAATCCTCTCACATCCTACAACCCAGTTCCTGTATACATAAATAAATAAAATAAAACTTTAAAAAGTAAACTTAGAGACACTAAATAGAGCATGACCCCAAGATTTAGGTATAATTTAATCTTAAAAACTTTGATACTTAGGACTTATCCTCATTTTATAGATGTGGAAACTGAGGCAGAGTGGAAGTGGCTAAGTGACATTGTGCTTAGCACATGCCTGCAATATCCTTATGATTGTCTTTATTATTATTATTCACGTAAATGAGTTTATGTATCCAAAATCATTACCACTGTGCCCAGCACATTGTAGCTGCTCAGTAAGCATCAATTAGTGTTGCTTTTAAAATATCACTATTACTACATTAGAGCAACAACTTTTTCTCATGGAATAGCTTCTTAGTTGGGACTAGTTTCTCCATTGAACACCTACAGCAAAGTTGTCTGCATTTACTTAAGCACTGGATAAAATAATTTAATGCTTACGGACAGTTTTGCATGAAAAATACTTGTCTTAAACCCTAGTGTTACCACATGAGCACTGTGAGAAGGCAGTGGGAACAGAGAGAGCGCCCCATGCCCGTAATAGGACATGTGTTCATTTATTAGAATGGCAGGATGCCCGCACCTGCACTATTAAAACTGTTTCTCTCACTTCGCCAAGCGTGTGTAACTGAAGTCAAATCTTTAAATGCAGCCAGGAAACAATGCTGCTCTGTAGTCCCTTCTCTGCCCCCTGGTCCTCATGCCTTGCCTTCAACCTGCTCTTCTCTCAGGAGGGTTGCACTCAGACAGCTCTGCCTGTTCCTTGCTGCTCTCTGCTCTGCAAGCACTTGGCGGAGGGAGAACCAGCTCACCCCTGGAGGCTTGTCACTAATTTTTCTTCTTTCCTCTCCTTTTCTCAAGTTACCTAAGAGGGAAAATCTACCCTAGTTATCTCCTCATATCGTGAGCCGAAAACACCCCACTCATGACTGATACGTTCTAGAATGATGTTAATGTATCCTTACATCAGTCTAACTTATTTAGAGATCATTGTAAATTAGAGGTAAATAAGTGGGATAATTAGTCATTTCTGCAGGTACCTAATGCTGACTTAAAATGGTAAACAGGTACACGCATAAAATGGGTCCGATTCCTTATGCATATTACTTTTTATATAGCTAAAAATCAAAGTGACTATAAAACGATTGCTTTCAACATAATGGCATTCAAGTGGACAGATGATTTTTTTTTTTTTTAATTATCACTTGCCATGTAAAAGTGGTACTAACTCTGTTGCCAGGCAAGTTTTTGTTGTTATTTTTAATCTGGCATCACCGTACTGTCATGATTCAGTCTCCTGTCACTTGCCTTAATGATGGTTGGGAAGAACTCTCCTCCTTCCAACACACTCAGGAGTTTGACCTTCATGAGTCAGAGCGCATCGTTTTTTCTCTACAGTCTAGAGACTACTTGGCACACAGACAGATGGTAAAAACAAACGTGGGCATTAAAATCCCTTGGCAGTGCTGCTTTTAATGATCACCCTGTAATAGGGAATATTTAGACTATGTTTTTAGTATTATTTTACATCATTGTTAAATATGCACTCTAAGTGAAATTGTGTAAAGCAAAAATCCCTGGAAAATGATTACTATAATCTCAGCTGTTTCTTTTATACATGCTTGCTTTCCTCTCACTGCTTTGATTAATCTCCAGTGTTCAGCAAGACTTTTGTATTTGTATTTCGTTTTCCCTACATTTTTATTTAGAAATCCATTTGTTGTAAAATACATTTGTTTTTCATACTTTTGTATTTTACTTCTTTAGTCTTTGGCCCTTGGAGGGAAAAAGATCCTGTGCAGAATAGTGATACTATAAGTTGTGGACTTCAGTTCTGTTTTGATAGTTAATTGCTCAAAGCCTCTCAGGTACCAAAATAAATGCACACATTTTCCCTTTCAAAAGTTAGCAAGTGAGGCCTCCCTGGTGGCACAGCGGGTAGAGAGCAGCACTGTGAAGCTGTCCACAGCCTCTGCAGCGCTAGTTCGATTCCCCTCCGGCTGGGGAGATTCCCACAAGGCACAGCAGACCTCTCCTGCCTCACCCGCTGCTCCCCTCCACAGAGTACTACAGTCCTGCCCGTTCCGCTCCCTGCTCTGTCTGGTGAATTCTCTCACCCTCCCACGCCTCTGGCCTGTACCCCAGTGCTTGTATAAATAAATAAATCTAAAAAAAAAGAAAAGTTAGCAAGTGCTTTTTTCTTTCTTAATAGTATTCACAGTCTTTAAGGCAAGGGTACAAGTTAGTATAAAATCAGTTCCCCAGTATCCCTCAAATGGAGTCTCACATAAATTTGTTTTTACCAGATAGTGAGTGAACTGCAACTCTGCCTTAGAATGAGATGGTTCAAAGTATGTTTTTAGAAATTGAACTTTTAAAGAATAAGATAGTGATCAGTTACTGACCTACAAACAAAATTAGACATTGTTTAAATAATAATACCCTAGGTTAATGCTGCTGTACATCTAGGGGATAGCGTGTGATAGAACGGTTTGGACAGTAATATTGGCAGTGTTTATCACATGGAAGGGTTAACAGAGATGATGCCTGTAAAGAACTCAAAGTATCAGACAGAGAGGCAGCACTCAGTAAATGTTTAGCACTTAGGGCTGGGGAACACTGAGGTGTGCAGAAAATCTGCATAAGTTTATATACCTTACAGATAAAAAGCAAAGGAATAAACTAGTAAAAGATTTTTATATTTAACTTGCAGGGAATTTAAAAACGTCTCTACATCTCCAGCCACCGTGATCAACTATTAAAAGTAAATAACAGACGGGGGGACATGACATGACGTGACTATTCTTAATGTATACAGCACCATTACAGTAGGCCCGTGAGAAAAATCTGCCTCCTCCCATCACCCCAATAGTACAAGTGGGGTATTTTTACTGAAGAAATAAAAATAGTAACTAATCGTTTAGAAAATATCACCCCTTTTTAATCATCAAATAGATGAAAGTTTGAGGGAAAAAACTGAGTTGAATATCAGAGAATTGATGTGGACATTTCTTTGGCTTCTCGAGGTTGGAATACACACCAAGGCGTGGTTTATCGCCGGGATCTTCTTGCTGTTGACTATACCCATTTCACTCTGGGTGATACTGCAGCACTTAGTGCACTATACACAACCCGAACTACAGAAACCAATTATAAGGTAAATTTTCTATTTTGAGTCTACTAGTGTTGTGTTGGCGTACGTCATAACTATGCTATAAAATGGTTTTGTTTTCCTTTCCAAATAGGATTCTTTGGATGGTGCCCATATACAGCTTAGATAGTGTAAGTATCTTTTATTTATCTTGTTAGCTAAAAACTATGGTTGATGATACTATGCTTAATAGAGTGCTTAAGCTAACAAAAGTGTGTCATTTGGCAATAAGGAGTCAGATTAATATACAAAAAAAGGTTCACTTGGTTTTTAATGTTGATAAAGATTAAATATAGTAATAGAAAATCAGATGTTTTAATTATTTTTAATCTATAGATGTTTGCTTAATCATTTAAAATTTCAGATTAGCTCTTTATTCTTTTAAAATACAATATTTTATATTATCCCTTTCATTTGTTAAATCTTTTATTTGGGGAAAAAAAATTCCCCCAATCTCTTCTACACTTGCAATTGTAATAACTACTTTAGTTTGATTAAATAGAAATTTCTCTAGCACCAGTTTGTGTGGGCATGTCAAGATAAACTTCAGATTATACTTAAGAACTCAAGTATATAATTTAGCTTCCTCATATTCACTTAAGTTTTTGTTTACCAGTGTTCAAAATGTTTATTACTTTTAAAAATTCATTTCGCAGATTGTCTGGTAGCCCTCATAATGATAAATTTTAGAAAGTTTGATATAAGTATGTGACAAGACATCTCAAATTTAAAAATTAGCTTATTTTGAGTACCATGAATTGAGAGTAGTGATTCATTTTATCTTAATTGCAGCTGTTTTTTTCTTTAACATCTGTGCTTTTTTCATAGTGGATAGCTTTGAAATATCCTAGCATCGCCATATACGTGGATACTTGCAGAGAATGTTATGAAGCTTATGTCATTTACAACTTTATGGGGTTCCTTACCAATTACCTAACTAACCGATATCCAAATCTGGTATTAATACTTGAAGCCAAAGATCAGCAGAAACATTTCCCTCCTTTATGTTGTTGTCCACCATGGACTATGGGAGAGTAAGTATGTTTGGTTTTAATTCGTGTTTTGGTTTTAGTTAAGCCGAGTTTCTGAGTATCACTCAGCAGAGCAGTACGCAAAGTGCATTTGTGTCTTAGTCTCAGTCTTCGCTATATTCTGGGTCATTTCTTCAGTTCTGCCTTCCAGTTCTTGACTTCGCCACACCTTTCAGAGGTACTAAATTGAATGTTTAACCATCTGCATAGACATCCTGAGTGATCTCAGGTTTGGTTTAAAAATAAATTCATGAAACACTGTTGGTTTAACCCAATTCCAACTTAGTTTAATCTTTCAAAGAGTTTGGGACAGACGGTCTGCCTGTTCAAAGTTCCCCGCTCTGGCTCCAGTGAATATTCTCACCCTCCCGCTCTTCTGACTGTACCCAGTGCTTGTATAAATAAATAAAAAATAAATCTTAAAAAAAGTTCCCTAATTTAAAAAAAAAAAAAAGAGTTTGGGACAGAAAGCCCAGCATGTCCAGCCAGAGCATCCTCATCAGGAGGTCTTGCGGCAAGGCCAAGTGCAGTCAAGCAGCCCCGCCCTCACGGAGGCATCAGTGGGAGCGCACAGTCAGCACACAGTTCCCCTGGTTTTATTCAGTCCAGAACACAGCACCTCAAGGTCTTTCTGCCTGACTCAGTCTAACTCTTAGATTAGGGACTTTACAATAGGTGACGTTCTCCTAGGGGTGCAGGAGCTGCCAGGTAAGCTTTGCCACCGGGCAGCTGGTCTTTGAACAGGACTTTATACTGCTCTCTCAGGACTTTTTTTTTTTTTTTTTGTGTGTGTTTGTTTGTTACTCTTTATAAGTGCCTCCCAGCCCCCTAAGCGTGAGCACAGGAATAGAATGTAAACTCTTGCAGGATCTTTGCTTTGTCCTTTCAGAGTATCTAATCAGTGCTCGCTGGTATATTTAAATACCAAACATGAAAAGAAACTGAAAGCTAAGTGTAAATAATACTTTCCAAATACATTTTCACATACACACGTAATTCCTTTGTTACTCAGTTTTTCTTCCAGAAGCATAAACCTATTGTTCCTTTTGTTCTGCACTACCCTTTTTAGGAGTATGAGGCTGTATGCACAAAATAAGGTCTTTCAGAATATATAGTTGTTGACTAAATTGAAAAATAGTATTGCCATTTAGAATCATTAAATTAAACATGGTATCATTTGTTAAAGTGATTTTAATTTGGGGACTCTGAAGGTATAATCTGATATTACTTAAATGAGTAGTTGAAATGTTCAACCCTTTTTCTTTTGCAGGGTATTGCTGTTTAGGTGCAAACTGGGTGTGTTGCAGTATACAGTCGTCAGACCATTCACCACCATCGTTGCTTTGTAAGTGCACCCACCTCATGTTTTTGGTTTTTTTGGGAAGATTTATTTATTCATGCATACGAGAACTGGGTACAGGCCAGATGTGCAGGAGGGTGAGAGGATTCAGCAGAGACAGAGCAGGTAACAGAACAGGCAGACAGACCGAAAGCACTGCTGAGGGGAGCAGCGGGCAAGACAGGAGAGGTCTCCTGCGCTATGTGGGACCCTCGCCCACCGGCCGGTATTGAACCAGCGCTGTAGAGGCTGCGGACAGTTTCACAGCACTGTGCTCAACCGCCTGCGCCACCAGGGGAGGCCCTCATGTTGTTTTTTTAAATCCTCATGGCCTTAATGTGGAACAACTGAATTAAAAAATCCTAAGAAGGGTGTTTGTTTACTTATATTGATTTAGAATACAAGTCTAGCCTGTTAATAAAAAAAAAAAAACAGTAAATACAAACTCTATTCTTCTAAAATTAATAATGTGACCATTTACATGCAAATAATAACCACGGAGTTATTCTAAAAAACGTTCTCTTTAGAGCTTTCTGGAAAGCATTTAAAAAATAGGGAGGAGAGCAGAGAAAGAACAGAGCACAGGGCCTGTGGTGGTGGCCTGTGGGTCCTCTGGTGGTGGACGCTGAAATGTTGACTGAAATGAGGAGCCGGTGCTTCTGTAATGGAAACAATGGTGTAAACCAATATTGACACAATAAAAAATATTTTAAAAAGATACTTTATCAAACATTAACGTTCACAGAAAGTTAACATGAAGTTAAAAGTGTGCTGTTTTAGGTTAGCTACAGTCTTGTTTTCTACAGAGATAACTTGGAATATCTCATGAGTGCAGTGTTCTGAGCAAGAAATCATCGTTTTCTTCAATATTTCTAGGGAGAAATTTTTTTTTTCTTTTTTCCCCCAGCTCTATGACAAAACTGAATTGATGAACAGGATGCTTTAAATAAAATAACTTCTAGATTTAATTATTGCTGTCAGTGCTGTATTTTAAACCACATTTTGATTTAATTAACCATGTTAATTTTTACCATTTTCTAGAATCTGTGAGTTGCTTGGTATTTATGATGAAGGGAACTTTAGTTTTTCGAATGCTTGGACTTACTTGGTTATAATAAATAATATGTCACAATTGGTAAGTAAAGATTTATCTATTTTAATTGTGCTCAATGTCTAGCTCTAAATTTTCCTAGAGAAAGTTTCTTCCTGAAATAAAACTTGTTACTTTTTAATCTGAAATTTGATTTATAGGAAGAATGTTAACATAGCTCTTTATATATGTATATAGATACAGTAATGTCTTTGTTAATTATTTGATGACTTATACCTTTACTTTTTGATTGTGTTCATTTGATCGTTGCATAGTTATGTGGATATGTCATAAATAAAAGCTTAGTGTTCTTTAAAAAAAAACCACAGCTATCCTGTGCATATTCAGTGAGAGAGAGTGTGTAATTGTTATGTGACAGTACAGGATTTGATTAAAATTCTCTGATATTAATTTGAAACTAAAGGAAAATTAAGAACTTCAAGTTTGAAAAAATGATGTTCTCAGAGCTATAATACTATAAAGATAAAGCTGTTTGATTTTTTTCTACTTAAGAATGTACATTTTATTTAAAATCTTTGGTTAATTATTTCAGCAAAATAATAGTTGCAGTGGTACGCGTTATGCTATTAAGGTTTGTAATAAAAATTGAATGCCTGTATATCTAAAGTTTTTCCATATGTTCAAACTCTTGGAACCCACGCTTCCACTTCTAGGAATGGATCCTTAATAGATGATCCGAAGTAACAAATGACTCTCTTTGTGTATTATTGAAAACCTATTATTTATATTTTAGCCAAAGGCTGGAAACAATCCAAAGCCCAGGGAAGGTGACTGGTTGAATAAACTATAGTCCTTCCACTGGCCAAAATATCTGCGATTATTCAAAATAACTCTTATGAAGTATATGTACAGTACTTTGGGGGAGAAAGTCAGGTGACAAAGTGTTATATTTAGTTGATGATACCTGCTACAAACTACCTTAATGTGTAAAAATGTTTGCATATTAGCACAAAGAATAACTTTACTCTTGGGCCTCCCCGGTGGCGCAGCGGTTGAGCGCTGGGTTGCGAAGCTGCCTGCAGCCTCTGCAGCCGGTTCGATCCCCGGCTGCTCCCCGGCCACCGGAGGAGGGTCCCACATGGCGGCAGACCTCTCCTGCCGCCCGCTGCTCCCCTCAGCAGTGTACTTCGGTCCTTCTGCCTGCTCTGCTCCCCGCTCTGGCTCTGGTGAATTCTCTCACCCTCCCACGCTTCTGACTGTACCCAGTGCATGTATAAACCAAACAAACAAACAAATAATAAATAAATAAATAAGACATGCCTCTAGAAAAAAAAAAAAATATATATATAAAAAAAAAAAAAAAGAATAACTTTACTCTTTACTGCTTTCATATTCTGTGGTACTTTAAATGAGCATTTTATATTTTAAAAAAAAGTTTTAGGAAAACTTTATTCCTATGTAATATTGTATTAGTTCAGTACAACTGATTTCTAAAAATGCTTATCAAATATTGAGCATTTATTTTAAAAAGTAAACTCAGCTGGACTAACATACTACCCACAAGAAAAATTATTCCCTTCACTCCTTCCTTTAGATATGTCACAGCTTTGTGAAAATTGGATTTATTTAATATGTTGTCTTATAAATAATATGCATACAATATTAGATATACTGATAAATAAGCCCAGCCCTTAAAAAGTTAACAGTAATTTGTGTGGAGAAGCCATAAGTAAGCAGATGTTATTTTGGCTACTTGAGAGCCTTTTCTTCCCTTCTTAGCCATCATTTGTTCAGTTTTCTGAACACATATTTTAATCTAAAAATAGCATAATAAAACCTAGAAAAGATTTTACGTAACACATTTCTCTGAACTAGGTCTTTGGTTTACTACTTACATATTTCTATTACCATATTTAATTTTTCTTATTGAAGAAGTTTGTTAATCTTGATTGTTTCTAGTTTGCAATGTATTGTCTCCTGCTATTTTATAAAGTACTGAAGGAAGAACTGAGTCCAATCCAACCTGTTGGCAAGTTTCTTTGTGTAAAGCTAGTGGTTTTTGTTTCTTTTTGGTAAGTATCTTTTTCTCTTAAATATTCTGATTTTCTTAAGGGCAATAAAATTTGATTAAAGAGGATTTTTAAAATAATCTTAAAAGTCCAATTTAAATGTCTGTTTACCTTGTAAAAGTCCTTTCTTTTAGCCCCTCTTGGTTTGTTATAATCAGATGATCATTGTAACACTTGTAAGAAGAAATTTGAGACAACCTAAATGTTTCAACACTAGAAGAATCATTAAAATAAATCATGACCCTAACAAATAACAAAATGTATAAGAATTTATAAGATAAGCATGTTACAGAATATTTAATGATTTGGGAAATATAAGTAAAAGCATTTCTTTTAAACAGTGCAAAACTATATATGGTCCCAATTCTATAAAGTGGTAGGTGATGGTAGCCTAGAAACAAATGCACCTAATTTAACAATGCTAAAAAAAGGGAAAAAGAAAAAGCCTTGAAATCCCACCACCCAGAAAGAATAATCAACATTTTGGTGCAATCATGCCATGTAAAACTGCAGAAATAATTTCATACTGTAGAAACTTGCATGACTCAATGTGTCTAGTATACCAGAGATATTTTTTGTGAGTAAAATGAGAATATAATTTTATTTAGGTTTTTGTTATTTTGTTGTGTGGATAAGTTCTTAACCAATCTCCTGTTGACATTTAAGTTCTTACTTTTTTTAATATTATGAGCAATATTGAAGCCAGCACTGTTCTTTATAGAACTGTGAAAGCTTGTCTCATTAATAGCTGTTTGTATTTAACTGAGGGTCATGTCCCCAGATGTGCTTGAAATGCTCAGCATGACTCTGTCTTGGAGGCAGACCCCCCCCCAACCCCCGAGTTTGTCTCTAGTTTCAGTACTTAAAATAAGATGACTTTTAAAAGATTGTTTTGAAAAATAATCTGAATAATCAATACAAGTGCATATAACATTTGAGCATCCTTTATTTCATCTTGAATGTGTAGGGAGGACTTAAAAATATAATGAACTGTGTAATTTAAAAAACAGAAGACATAAACCAAATACTGAAGTTCTAAGAACAATTAAAATTCACGTGACAAAACTGTACAAGCAGAATAAATTTATACGGCAAATAAATGTACTTAATATACACAGTGTCTTCAAGAATATGCTTTGAAGGCAGGGTGGTGGTGGGGGTGGTGGGGGTAGTCCACAGATTGTACTGGGGTTTAACTTTTTTAAATGGCATATTTTTAAAACAACTGCCCATTTTATGCTTGATATAGATTTGGCGTTTACCTTTTCCTAACATATAGGCAAGCAGTAGTTATTGCTTTGTTGGTAAAAGTTGGCGTTATTTCTGAAAAGCATACGTGGGAATGGCAAACTGTAGAAGCTGTAGCTACAGGACTGCAGGTAAGTAGAACCATGTCTGAACTCAATAAAACATTACTGTTTTTGTTAAGCATTTTTACATATTGTCTCTTAAATCTGACAACTTTTAGACTATTGGGCTATTATATCCTCACTTTACAGGCGAGGAAACGGGAGAGTCCTAGAGAAATTGGCCATAGTTATTGATAGCAGAACCAGGAGTAGAACCTAGATTTTGTTATTCCTAGTCCATTTCTCTGTCTGCATTTCTCCACTTAGTCCTTGGGTAGTGGATTGAGAATGCATTGTACTTTGCTAAGAAATATTTGCTCAAGAAAGCACAAGACAGATTGAAATTTTTTGAAAAGGTCAGAAATAATTTTGAAAAACAAAATAATGAATATAATCATGGAAAAAAAAAAAAAAAACCAGCTGTTAAGACTTGAGAACTCCTTTACCTACACCACTAGACCGAAACTCAAAAGACACTGATGATGTCCCTGTTGCTGCTGTTGCAGGACTTTATTATCTGTATCGAGATGTTCCTCGCTGCTATTGCTCACCACTACACGTTCTCATATAAGCCGTACGTTCAAGAAGCAGAAGAGGGCTCATGCTTTGATTCCTTCCTTGCCATGTGGGATGTTTCAGATATCAGAGATGATATTTCTGAACAAGTAAGACATGTTGGTAAGTACCAGTCATGTAATTTCATCCAGATTGGCAGGTTATTGTACTTCTGTTAGAGTCTAGAAGCTATTTAAGAGATGAAGGGACTGCGTGAAGCAGTACCACAGTAAGGCTCCTCAAATTGGAGGAAAGGGGGGAGCTTGCTTTTAGCATGAGTTTATCTTGGCAAAAGTAAAACTTTGGGCTAACTTTGAAACCTTTGTATCTTAAAGGAAGGACTGTCATGGGACATCCTAGGAAAAAATTTTTTCCTGAGGATCAAGATCAAAATGAACACACAAGCTTGTTGTCATCATCATCACAAGATGCAATTTCTGTTGCCTCCTCTGTGCCACCTTCACCTGCGGGTCACTACCAAGGGTTTGGACACACTGTGACTCCCCAGACTACACCTACTACGGCTAAGATACGTGACGAAATGTTTAATGATGCTGCAGAAGAGAAAAAAGAACATTCAGCTAAATCCGTGGCCTCCTGAAGAGCGTGCAGACGCGAACTGTGGTGCCACATTATTGCATTTCCTCGCGGCCCCTTGCTCAGGATTGTGTGCTTGGGAAAGGCCGTAAGTGATGGAATTTCAACTCAGAGATAGGCAGAAGCCAGGTAGAACTACTGGGTTTATATAACTGAGTTTTGTATATCAAACGATAGGTCTAAATATCTAGACTTAGACTTGATTTCTTAACATTAGAGTATCACATACTCAAATGATAGGAAATGACACTACTAAATGTTCCTGATGCTACGTTGCTTTATCAAGAGGATGAACATTTAAAAAAAAAAAATCAATGCTTCCTAACACTGCTGCATGAATATAATGCTCTGGAATTAGCAGAAAGTAATTCAGAAATATCAATTAGTGGAACTTAATCATGTGCCATATATGCTTACCTAACAATTATTTCTCTATTTCTCAACTGGATGTCTTTCAATAAATTAGAATTTATCATTTATTTTCTGAAACTTTTGTCTCTTTAATCAAAAACCCTTTAACAAAAAGTTCATGAGTAGAGGCAAAAATAAGTAAAAAAAGTTATGGGTTAAAAATTATCTTCCTAAAAGTATCTTGAGAACTTTATTTTATTCACCTTAAAACTTTATTATTTAAAAATCATATTTGTGGTACTGTTAATAGAGTAGTAGATTGCCCAGGACTTTGAGATGAACAGAACACCTGGACAGAAAACTGGAAGAATAAGAAATGATAGCTATGGAGTATAAATTTTCTTTGTTGTTCAAGGTGTCAGCAAATGTAAATCTAGGCTGAGGAGTCTTACCAAACCACAGAAGACATGTAAGTGCTAGTGGGGAGAAATTTACTCAAAATGAAGTTTCTCTGTTAATCAAACCTTTGGGTCATGTCTAACATTTTATAATGCCGGAGTGTAGTATGTTGTGAATTTCAAGAGTAAGTGTTGCTTCTCAAAACTTTTGCTTTTATGTATTTATATGTATGTGTGCACACACACACCCATTTATAAATTGGTTCACATTAGTTAATTATAAAGTTTTTGTTCTGTCCACTATTATACTCTAAACATTTCTATTGAAATTAAAATTAGGTAGTAGTATATTAGTGAAAGATGAACAAGCAATGTGGAGAGAAGGTACTTTTTTTTTTTTTTGGTGGCTTACAAAGAGCACACACAGTATACGTAAAACATAATTTCCTTAGTAATCTCCCTATTTCAAGTCTTTAAAAACTGGCCCTGTTATTTTATATCTTTTACTGTGCACCTAAATCAAAAAAGCTTTGCAGCTTTTTGGTTCTTTGCGAAAGTACACCAAGGAACAATCTTGCTTCCAGAAGATTTCCCCCCCCTTTTATTCTCTTAATTGCATTTACTTTATAGCTTAAATTCTTCCAGGTTGTATTCCCAAAAACAAACCTGAGAGAGTGTTTTTAGTAGTATACTTAGTATTTAAAAGGAACAAGCTTGGAATTTACAAGTAACCATAACCTTTAGTCTTCAGGGAAAGTCAAGTTGCTGATGTTTCCAATTGTGAGTTTGGATTTAAGAAAAAAAAGCCAAGATGCCTAAAAAAGTAACTCAGGCTGTACTTAATGATACATGATAGGGCCTCCCCGGTGGCGCAGCGGTTGAGCGCTGGGTTGCGGAGCTGCCCGCGGCCTCTGCGGCGCCGGTTCGATCCCCGGCTGCTCCCCGGCCACCGGAGGAGGGTCCCACATGGCGCGCAGACCTCTCCTGCTGCCCGCTGCTCCCCTCAGCAGTGTACTTCAGTCTGCCTGCTCTGCTCCCCACTCTGGCTCTGGTGAATTCTCTCGCCCTCCCGTGCTTCTGACTGTACCCAGTGCATGTATAAACAAAATGAACAAACAAACAAATAAATAAATAAAACATGCCTCTATTAAAAAAAAAAAAAGGATACATGATAGTGAAAACGAAAAATATCTTAGTGGCTTTAGAGTGTAGACGGGTATAGCAAAATGTAATTGACATCATGTAAGACCAAACAAAAACACTTTCCTAATTTGTAAAGTTAACACTTTCCCAGAAAAGTCTGCAGCAATATTTTTATAATAATTCTACTCTTTAATTTTGGATATTTTAAATATACTTTATTAATGTCAATTTAAAAAAAATATTTGTTACAAGAAACTAAATCAGTTTTATAATTACAATCCCACTAATTCAGACCAGAAAAATTATGTACTTGCTCCTCCACTTAAGCAGTTTTCATAGAAAACCCCTTTTCACTGCTTTACTGTGATGCTGACATTGCTTTTGTGATGCTGGACACAAAGAACAAGTTCCTCTCCCATTTCCACCTGGATGGGATTGTCCAAAACAACCGCAGCTTGTTTCCAGTGGGAGGCTTTACTGGAGGTATCCAACTTAATCTCCTCATCAAGGTGCATATGATACCAAAACGGAATGGCAGTCACTTGTCCAGATTTACAAACGTGCACCTACGAAAGTCAAGAAATCATGAAAATTTCATCATCAAAGTAAAAAAAGTCTGGATTTTTGTCAATTTAGTTCCAAATTCAACAAATACATCTAATCACCTGATTCAAATTGGTATCGATTTTATTCATGAATATAATTTAAGTTCAAAAAGAAAGAACATTTAAGTCTTCAAAGAAAGTGGCTAAAACTATGGTATACATATAAAGTATTGCCTAGTTTAAGGAAATTATTCTGAATATGACAAGAGTGATTGTTTCATATTACCTTTACTTCTGTACTGGAGGTGTTCAAATATGGAGTCATTAGATCTAGTCTTAAGAGTTCCACTGGCTTGCTTAAAGGTGTACAGGGCAAGGAAGGTAGGTCCAAAAATACACGTATAGGTACCTAAGGAAAATAAAAGTTTCCATTTTTATCAATTCTTTTTGTAGCCAAGGCTCATCAAGTGCTAATGCTTTTTACATCTGTTACCTCATTTAGTTTAACTTCCACATCAACCTTTAAGCATAAGTATTTTGATGGTTCCAGTTTTCTATAGGAACAAGCCAAGGTTTAGGAAGATTAAGTAATTTGCTATTTTCATTTGTAACAGTGGTTCAGAGCACATAATTCATAAGACAGAATTCCTTGACTAATCCAACCCCCCTTTTATTTATCCATAAAAGATTCCTTTGCTGTAGGAAACTGATTATCTTCCTAATCCAACTAAACATGGCAACTAGATAAAACTACAGAGAGGGATAAGCTAGATAAGAGCCAACAGACTGAATTTCCACTTACCTGGAACTGGTTAATAAACGGTGCTATATTTAACCCTAGAGTTCGTTCTGTTCCTTGCACAGCACTCTCTTCCACCAGTGTCTGTGATTCCACAAGCAACCCAAACATCAGCACGTACTGAGGAAAGATCTTGCCTCCTGACTGTAACAAACACCTAGAGAAGGTAAAATATTTTTTTTTAAAGATTTATTTATGCATACAAGAGCTGTGGTGTAGGCCAGAGGTGTGGGGGTGGGAGGTGAGAAGATTCACCAGAGACAGAGTGGGGTGCAGAACAGGCAGCTTGACTGAAATACACTGCTGAGGAAAGCAAGGGTGAGACAGGAGAGGTCTGCTGTGCCATGTGGGCTAGCTCCCTGGCCTGCAATCGAACTCATGCTGATCACTTCATAGTGCTGAGACTTAACCCCTTGCGCCACCAGGGAGGCCCCAAAGGTAAAATATTTTAAAATGCATCTTGATTCCCTGCATTTTATATATACCAATAACTAAATCAGGATGAATCAGTGAGCAACAGATTCTATACTGTCTAATGGATTTTGTGATGGACTGGTAGCTCAGAATGGTATACTACTGTAAATTATTTCCCAAGAAGTCAAACTTAACCACTAATGTAGCAAAGAAAAATAATCAGTTGGCTGAGTAGATAAAAGTCTCAAGGTTCAGAAAAAGTATAATGGATATTAAAATTAATGAGTGTGATTAGGAAAGGGATATTTACATACTTTCAAAATGACTTACTCATTACAAAGAGAAAAATAGCAACTTACTGTGAAAAAACCTGGTGGATACAATTTAAACTAACTGATCTAAAATCAGTGATAGGCTGAAACATCATGAGCCTCCTCATGTGACAAAACTGGTATTCCTCTATAAAAATAGATAATCTGAATCTAATAAGAAAACATGAACATTGTACAAAGTAAGTGACCTACAAATTATTGTCAGGAGACTGAGGAACTGTTTCAGAAAAAAGGAGATGAAAGAGACATAAAAGCAATGCAATATGTGATCCTGGATTGGATTTTAGGCCAGGCACAAAAAAAGAGCCATAAAGGATATTTTTGCAACATGTGGTGAAATATGCCTAAATTTTATACATTCAATACCAGTATTGTGTACACATTAACTGTCTGATCTTAATAAGAGTATGAGGATTATAGATATGAATGTCCTGTTTCCTAGGAAATACCAAAGTATTTTGGGGTTAAGGCACATGATATCGAACTTTCTAAATTGGTTAGAGAGAATAACAGCAAATGTGACAAAATATTAAAAATTTATGAGTTGGACTGTAGTTACATGCTAAGTGTGACTATAACGTATATACACTGAGAGGACTTTACTGAGAAAGAGATCGTTCCTACACCAGAAGAGAAGGCTGCACAGCAGAAAGAGCACCCAGGAGAAACTAAAGCAGCAAGACCGTATGTCAATGACAAATCTGAGATTAGATCTGAACCCTTTCTGTTCCTTGTACTACACGCCACCAAAAACATCTGATTAAAATTTCACATGCATGTTTATACAAAGGCAGTAAAGCAGCCTCACTTCTTCACAACAGTGCAGGGATTCACTTGGGAAGTCAGTATAACACACAAAAGAAATGAGAAAAGCACGTGTGAGCAACATATAATGATCATGACTCATTTATAGAGTTACGCCATTAAAGAACTAAAAGAATTTAACTATTGAGCTCAAAAAGTTATATTTTGGGTGTTACCTGGATATTGCAGCTTTTTCCATTATTTCCTGCTGAATGAGTCCAGATGGCTCAATGACATCTAGTATAATTATGCTCCACAGCTTGTCTGATTTTGGCCTTTGTAACACAGCAGATTCATCTTCCACATGTCTCAACCAAAACTCAAGGGTTTCTTTAGGAAAATGATTGGCTTCAGAGATGAGGTCCAGTGCTATACGATGCTGGTCTTTCTCCACAGAACTGTAAGGTTTAACCTGCCCGAGTGTGCCGGCAATTACAGGCAGAATGGAGAAGCCTTCAGACACATCTAACACATAGAAGGGCTCAGCCACGCCCTGTTCGGAAGTGTTTTGTCCACAGCTCGCCTCGTCACTCTGATTGTGAGTATCCATGGCCTGCCAGAGTTTCTCTGGGCTCAATGAAGACAACACTTTTCTCATTGCCATCTTAAAGCCATCATGATACGAAACATTATTAAGCAAAGCAATTTCTGTGGATTCCAGTACACATGAATGTTCCACAGTGTCGGGTTTACTGGTCTGAAGGTTAGCCAGGGCACTACAGAGTTCAGCTTCATTTCCTAAAGGGAGCAAATCCTGCTTCTTGGTAAAACTTTTCCCAACATCCATTTGTTCTGAACTGAAGATATTAATACTCTGGATTCTTAAATAATAATCTTGACAAGACACTTCCATCATCACACGGTCCCCAGGTTTTATCCAGTACTCTTCATAGAATAGTAAGAAATAAAAAAAAATAAGTGATGAGATGAACACAAGCCTGTGGATCACACCATCCCATCCTCCCATTCCATGCTCCATATTTTAAATCACTACAGGAAGTGATATTACATCTATAATAGACATTCCATCACTGAACAGAATTAAGTGACTTAACCTATTTATTTCCTACCAAAAAAACTAGTAGGAAAATTCCTCTAGCTTTAACGGGGGGAGGGGAGGACAGGACTAAAGTTTGAAGATTGCATAAATCACAGTAACAGAATGATCCAAGAGTTCCATTAGTGGACCCACCTATCATATTACAGTGCTTTCACTGCAATCACTGTAGGGACCATCATGTTCCCAAGCTGCAGGGAGGGGAGGGCAGAGGAGGAGCAGAAGGGGACTCTCAGCTTTCTGTGGTACGGAAGCCAAAAGTACCAAAGATCAAAATCCCACATCAATGCCAGATTGCTCTTTGGCTTAATGGCACATGCTTTTCTCTAAGAGAAATTTCCAAAAGGGCAAGCAGGATTCAGTAGAACCTTGTCAGTAATAGTTTCTTTTTTTTTTTTTTAAGATTTATTTATTTATTTATGCAAGAACTGGAGTACAGGCCAGATGCATGGGAGGGTGAGAGGATTCACCAGAGACAGAGTGGGGAACAGAACAGGCAGACTGACGAAATACACTGCTGAGGGGAGCAGCGGGCAAGACAGGAGAGGTTTGCCGTGCCATGTGGGACCCTCACCAGGCCCGCTGGGATGGAACCGGGGCTGCAGAGGTTGCATACAGCTTCACAGCGTGGTGCTCACCCACCTGCGTCACCAGAGGAGGCCCAGTAATAGTTTTTAATTGCAAGTATTTAGGCACTCTTGCATGTTCAGACATTTGAAAATATAAGGAAGGCCTAGGTCCTGCAATAAGGATTCCATGTTTTTCACACATGCTTTCAGACTTCGTAAAACTTGTCAATGTAAAATGATAAAAATCCCTTCTTATCAGTCCTAGAGTCAAGTGAAAATACATTTCTGTGACATGGGGCTCCAGACACACCCTCAAGTTCTAAAAGTGGCAAGAACTTCTGCACTAAAAGTAATACCTTTTCAGCTATGTTCCACAAAAAATGGACTATCCTGTCTCTTTCTGACAGCTAATCAGCTGAAGCAATGATTTAATGTTAGATATTTTTGAGTGTTGAGTGGCATGAGTTTTCTATTAGTCTCTTCATGTATGTGTGTGTGTAGACGTGCATGAACTATTTAAAACTATTTAAAAAAAAAAAGTTCTGACTTAACCAATCTCCTCTGACTAGAAACTATATTCAAAGTAATTTTTCTGGCATGACTAAAATGCATAGAGGATTAAAGCAACAATTTTCAAAAACAAGTTGAAAAAATCAGACCAGCTATACCTGCAAGGTCCTGTACAGGGTAGACAGCCTGTTCCCAACACGTCTCCTCACTAGGACTTGTGGATAAACTGTGCTCCTCATCAAGGTGGAGTACAAACCAAACCACAATTGCATCCAGTATGCCTTCTTTAACCACAGGAATACCAAAGTGATCAGGTTTTTTAGTTGCAAGACTTTTTAATTCCTGACAAAATGCAAAAGGAATACAAGGATTTCATACATTTAACATCACACACACACACACACACACACACACACACACACACGCACACACGTCCCAATACCATTCCACTTCCGTTTCTGTGTTCTTGGTCCTACCCAGAGTATCTCAGTGCACCTTTAACAATTTAAGGCACAGTAGCTAGGAGGCGCTGATCTATTACAGTAAAATATTATGCAGTTATTAAAAACAATGAGGTAGATACTTATTGACATTGGAAGATCATGATACATTGTTGAACACAAGTGGTAAAGCAATAGGGTTTTTGTTTGTTTTTTTTTTGAGTGTGTGTGTGCGTGTGCGTGTGCGTAAAAATAGAAAAGCAAGTCCAAAATGATGCTCTACAAAATAGTGACCTGGGCAGAAAAGGGCCTAGATTTTAAAAAGGAAGAAACATAGCTTTTCCTTTCCATTCACCTATATTATCTGAAAGTGCTAAATCTAGGCAGATAATACTTTCAAAATGAAAGTCAATAAGGTAAGGGTTTTTCTATGTGCAAAGAATTAAAATAAAAACATTAAAATAACAAAAGGCTAGCTTTGGGGTACTTATAGGAACATAGTATCAGCCTAGAAATGCTCTTGAAACTCATTCTCAGTAATCAAACCTAAAATGTTTGTTTCGCTTCAGACCACCTCAAGGAAAACCTAGTAACAATTAATAGGAGAAAGCTTTTATTAAATTATAGAAATCTTAGGTTAAAATGCCCCTCACAAAGTCTTCTGTCCCCAGGCAGACTTCCTCTAAGACAGTATATACCTTTGACATTATGTACACTATGTACCTATGAACATTTAATCTTAAGTATCTTCAGAGAAGAATTCTATGTAACCTTTCTCAGCCTGGTTGATACAGCCGGGTGATCACCTGGTTCTGCTTCAACCAAGACCATCCCAGTGTGTGTGTCTCTGGAACCGCTCAGTCCCCAGTAACCAGTGATGGCTGCTAACACACACACACCAGATCAAGGGAGTGCTTCCTGTTCATCTCAATGAACACTATTAATTTGAAATGACAGCATAACAGAAAAACATCAGGAAGCTGCAGGTTGGACTCCTGCCACTGCAGTCACAAGCTGCACAATGTGGGGAATATCCACGCAAGCAACAGTTACCGCATCTGGAGAGCGCGAGAGTACACAGCAGTGCACACAGCACGTTACGTGACCTACGGGCTCACGGAAGCGCCTGGCACATGATATGACTCCAGCGAATGTAAAGAAATTTTTTTTTTTCTGTGTTTAAGCCAATGACTTCAGCAAGGTACTTGGTTCTGTTTAATTATTTGTTTTACATTCAGTAAATGGAATCCCATGTAAACTCTTAAAATAAGATTGTCCTATATATTATTTTTTACAATGCATGAAATTTAATACTCAAAAATAGTAACTGGACTTTTTTTTTTTTTTTTACCTGGAGATTGTTGAAATCTACTGTCATAATTTCAAAGCATTCTGTCAAAGCCAAATAGCCCCCAGAAACTCGACTCATCTTTTCAGTTGTATAAGGTTCAGCTGTTTCTTCAGTAGCTACAGAATAAGCCGGACTCTGAAATTTCACATTTATTGGCAAAGAGATCCCAGCAAGGTCCTTACTATCCACTCTGGTAAAAGGAGAAATGGAGGGGGTGGGGAGAAAGATGTGTTTGTTTTAGGAGCAAGTATTCTTAAACACAGTTATTTAAACAATCATTAACAATAAAAGAAAAAAATGAGGGCCTCCCCGGTGGCGCAGCGGTTGAGCGATGGGTTGCGAAGCCTCTGCAGCGCCAGTTCAATCCCCGGCTGCTCCCAGGCCACCGGAGGAGGGTCCCACATGGTGCGCAGACCTCTCCTGCCGCCCGCTGCTCCCCTCAGCAGTGTACTTCGGTCCTTCTGCCTGCTCTGCTCCCTGCTCTGGTTCTGGTGAATTCTCTCACCCTCCCGCGCTTCTCTCTGCACCCAGTGCTTGTATAAATAAATAAATAAATAAATAAATAAATATTCAAAATAAATAAATAAATGAATAATTTAAAAAAAAAAAAAAGAAAAAAGTGAGAAATAGGTCTAAATAAAAAAATCTCTGCTGATCAAAAGATATTCGGTAAGAAAGTAAAAAGCAAGCCACTGGGGCCTCCCCGGTGCAGCAGTTGAACACTGGGTTGCGAAGCTGTCCGCAGCCTCTGCAGCACCAGTTCGATCCCCGGCTGCCAGGCGAGGGTCCCACATGGCGCGCAGACCTCTCCTGCCGCCCGCTGCTCCCCTCAGCAGTGTACTTCGGTCCTTCTGCCTGCTCTGCTCCCCGCTCTGGCTCTGGTGAATTCTCTCACCCTCCCGTGCTTCTGACTGTACCCAGTGCTTGTATACATAAATAAATAAATCTTAATAAAAAAAAAAAATGCGCAAGCCACTGAAGGACTCCTTTTTCAAAATGGTAGCTACCTGTCACTTAATTTTTACATTGGGTAAGACAAAAAATTATAGTGGTTTTCCTGAAAAATGTAAAGAGAAATTATTGAATTCATGTTACAAGAGACAACCTTGCTTTTCTTGTGGGCAATTCAGCAACATGTTTCTGCACCTTAAGAAATACGCTTTAACTCAGTAACTCTGTATTACGACGTTTCCAAAGAAAATAAAAGACAAGTCTACAGAAACATAAAAGTACAGATATTTACCCTTGTTCTTAAAAGTAAAAAAGTGGAAACAATTTAAGAATTCCAAACTCTGAGGACTATATTTGGAAATTGATTTTAAAAAGTGATGATGCAAATCTATTAACATGAAGAGGTACACAAAGAAAAAGCAAATCCAGTTAGTGATACTTTTGAAGTAAAATTAAATTTAATCACACACATTTATTTGGAGAGCTGACTGAAACTCAAGCAGTACACTCTAATTCAGCAAATCTGCTGTGTAAAATCACCATCTGTTCGGTCTGTGCCCTGATAGCAAAACATGTTTACATGTCACCCCGTAAGAGGCACAGAAAAGGGTAAGGAAGAATACCAAAAAAGATGCAGAGTAGTTATCCAGTGGTGAGAAGCTTAAGATGGTGTTTATGTTCTTCTTTACTCATAGTATTTCCAAAAATATTTATGTGTTACATTTACTATTAAGTATTGGAAGGGGCCACTCTAAAACGCCCCAACAAAATACGGACCAATATCTGAGCAAAATAAAACACTCATTGTTCAGGAAAAAAAACATTACCGAGAAGCTACTAGAGTAAAAAATTTAATGTCGTATTTTCATGTTTATATTTAATAAGTAAATCTCAGAATCTCAAAGCTTGAAAAATACTAAAATTTCATCCCATTCAAACACAAAACATAGTATCAATCAGGTTTTTTAAAAGAGGGAAATAGAAGAAATAAAATTAAAAAATTATTTTCACACTGGAAATTTTTATCTCACTTTCGCCTAAAGACAATCTGAATATTAACAATTTTTCTGTTTGAATATATCACAGGCCAAAAAGGTTTTCACTAAAAAATCTGAGTCAATTTTAATTTTTGATTTCTATTATAAAAGGGGGAAAAAAGGAAAAAGAAAATTAAGACTGGAAGAACGTGAATTTCAAGGTAAGAAAGCTGCAAGTTCTCATCCTTATAGCCTTTGAAGTATAGTCTACAACTTAAAATACTGTTTTTTTAGTAATTACTATTTAAATAATCCCTTACCTATGATGTCTTCTTATCTCTGCACATTCTACTGCCATCCCAAATATAACAGCACTTGCTGGTATAACTTTCCCATAGTTTTCATAATTACCACTTTCACCTTTGGCCTAAAAATATAACAAAATTATGTTCAGTACACCTATAAAAAAATGTGTTATATATGAAAATTAAGAAAAAAGCTTTAAAAACAATAAGAACAAGCACTTTTATAATCTTTAAAAAGTTTCCTTTGTTGACTAGACTTATTTTGGTGATCATTTCACAATATGGAAATATGAAATTATGTTGTACACCTGAAACGACATGCTATATCAATTACATCTCAATGTTTTCTTTTCCATTCTACATATGTATACGTGTGTATACACACACATACTTTTAACAGCATAAACAAAGGAGGGATGTAAGTATGCACACAAGAGGAACGAATATAACTTTAATTGAGAAGCCAAAATTATCATTACCTATTTGAAAAATTAACCATTCTTCTGTTCAACTTTTAGCTACCTTAAATCTAAGTCATTTTCTATAACGTAATGAATTATTACATGTTAAAATCCTTTCATTTACAGTACATATAAAAAGCATCTGCAACCAAAGGACACAAAAACATTGATTCAAAAGACCACCTATACCCCTATGTTTATTGCAGCACTATGTATAATAGGTAAAACCATAGTCATCTATGCCCAAAAATAGATGACTGGATCAAGGTGTGGCATATATACACAATGGAATATTACTCCGCAATCAAAAAAGATAAACTCATGCCATTCACAGCAACATGGATGGAACTAGAAGGAATTATACTCAGTGAAATAAGCCAGAAGGAAAAAAAAAATATGGGATGGTTTCACTTATAGCAGGAATATAGGGGAACCAAATAAGACATCAGTGTAAAAAAATAGCAACAGTACAAACACAACAAAGCAAAAACGGACAATTATAAATCAGAGACAAACTGCAAGGGAGGAGGCGGGAGAGGGATCAGAGGGAGGGGGGGAGGAGCACAGGGGACTGAGGTGATGGTGCACGGGTGCATAGGTGAAGGAAACTCTATGGGGACTACACCTGAGGGGGTGGGGGGAAGCAAATATTGTTTAAAAATGAACAATGATGTAAAAAAATTTAAAAACTAATTTTAAAAAAATGTAATAAAAAGAAAAAAAAATTCCACAGTGAGCCTCTCCACAATGTCACCTCAGTTCCATGAATTCCTTCCTGAAATACTTTATATGCCCCACCCAGCACACAAGCATACATTACATTATGTCATTAAATGCTCTTTGTGTTGATTTCTTTCCAAATATCCAGTATAGATCCTGACAGCAGGGTGTATTTCATACTGTTTTACACCTAGCACTAGGGGTTCAATAAATATCTGTTGAAATAATGAATATAATCAAATTTTAGTGTTTTAAAATCGCTTACCTTTGGGGGCAAAAGTAAATTCTCCCATGCATGAATCAAACTCTCCACAATTCCTTCTCCAAATAAACCTGCATCGACAGTTTCTGTTACAACTAGGGACACTCTATAGAATGATTTTTTAAAGACACACGTAAGTAAAATATCATGCTTTTATATAAAGATGTCAAACCTGAGAGAAGGAAGAGTATATTACAGAAACAGTCATATGTAAAATTTCTAATACATTTCATTTTTACTATCTACCCTTGATTCTTGAGGAACCTGACTACTGTTCCTCAGGTTCCTCTGTTCTCTACTGGCATATCTGGGGCGGAGGGGGGTTGGCGTGGGGAGAGGACAGGAAGGAGGGGAAGACACAACACACAACCTTCACCTGACCCTGCTGCCTCCTCAGGCCTTCTTTCATTGACTAAATGAAAGACTCCTTAAGTGGGGGTTTTACCAGTCCCCTTAAGAGGGGTCTTTACCTTACCAGTCCCCCTCCTACTGCTGAGCAATTAAATTTCCATTCCCAACACTAAAGATACTCTATCATCAAAGACTCCTATACTTATCAAAGTGAATAATCTTTCTCAGTTCTCATTTTCCTTGATCTACAAATAACATTTAATGTGAAAAGTCCTCCCTTTCAAAATCCTTCCTCTACCTCATTATCCTTGCTGTTTACCTCTTAGACAATGATTGCGCCTCCCCTCAAGTCTAATCGACTAACATTTTATTTTTATTTATTTATTTTTTTAAAGATTTATTTATTTTTATACAAGAACTGGGGTATGGGCTAGATGCGCGGGAGGGTAGAGAGGATTCACCAGAGACAGAGTGGGGAACAGAACAGGCAGACTGACGAAATACACTGCTGAGGGGAGCAGCGGGCGAGACAGGAGAGATCTGCATCGCCATGTGGGACCCTCGCCAGCCGGCTAGGATCGCACCTGCACTGCAGAGGCTGCGGACAGCTTCACAGTGCGGCACTCAACCGCCTGTGCCACCAGGGAGGCCCTAACATTTTATTTTTAAATAGTACTTAAAATTAAGAACTATTGATCACATAGGCAATATTACCCATTTTATCACTAAAACACTGAAACCAACAAAGATAAAGTAATTTTGCAAAAGTCAAGTTTATATAGTAAATACTTTACCACATATTTTTCTCAAAACCTTCAAATTTTTTGGGCCTCCCTGGTGATACAGGGGTTAAGGTCTCAGCACTATCAAGCTGTTGTCAGCCACTGTGGAATAAGTTCAATCCCTGACCAGAGAGGTGACCCACATAGCGCAGCAGACCTCTCCTGTCTCACCTGCTGCTCCCCTCAGTAGTGTATTTCAGTCATTCTGCCTATTCTGTTCCCCACTCTGTCTCTGGTGAATCCTCTCACCCCTGCACCTCTGGCCTACACCCCAGTTGTATGCATAAATAAAAAATAAATCTTTAATAAAAATAAACCTTCAGATATTTTACCAAGAATATGACCTTGTTATAAAATTCCATGTTATGTTAAACTATGCTATATCCAAATTTTTATAAGGGTTTTAGCATTTTTGTTTAAACAAGAAGCCAGTAATGTACTGATTTTTTTAAATGAAACTGCCTTATAAACAAAATTTTATGTAAACAATGTTTATATCCTAATACCTTTCAGGGATGTGTTTTGGAATTTCTATGTCCAGTGACTTCATATGTAGGAGAGTGATTCCTGTTTCCATCTTGTTTGCTGCCACCACGTCGCAGGCAAGTTCATACATGGTCTTGGACAACTCACAGGCATACACAGAGCATGCTCCAGCTTTCTTAGCAAACATGCTACAATGGGAAAAAGTGCTCCATCAAAAAAAAAAAATCACTGTTTTTTTTCACTTTTTAGTGGAATAATGATGCTTAAACATAGGGTTTTGCATTTAACTAACAGAACCAATATTTTATTCCATATTAAAAAATGAACTAAAACTCTTATCAAGAAACAAACCATACAATAAATCGTAAAATCCACCTCATTAAGAACATACCCTCTGGTTTTGATGAACACTAATATGTTTTAATTTAAGACAACTAAATTCAACCAGAATGTTAATGCAAAAAGAACTCTTAAAATTCATTATTCAAAAATTCATAAAAAACCCCAGTTTCTCTTAGTTATGTCCAGTTTTTTATAAAGTAAAAGTTACAGTGAAAAATACAATTATAGTTGCTTGAATAAACATGATTATAAGTACGTTAAACTCTGTAAATTACACTGCTAATTTTTCCAATTTTGCTAGCAACTTTAATTTACATTAATATACAGATATATATTATATATTATATATTATATATAATTTAAACACAATTCCAACGAACCTTAGTATTCCGGTTCCTGCTCCAATGTCCAAAACACTTTTTGACCCCAAACAAACGGCCTTTTGGATTGCTGCATTATAAATTGTATTCCTTTTGATGTCATTAAGCATGATAAAGTGCCAGCGTTCTACCAGCCAGTTTGCAACTCGATAAAAATTCTCCTTTGCATCACTGAAATCAGGATTCAGCTTCACTGCTTTATGAAAATACCCTGCTGCTTCATCTCTAAAGCCCATTCTACAGTAAAAAATGACAGACAAAATATTCCACAATGTGTTATCAATTATAGTAGCCTTTGTTCATGCCACTTATTTGGCTTGAAGATCCCATACCACACCCCAAATCCTACTCAGCCCATGACTATTTCCTTTGGGAAGTTTCTTGTGAGGATGGCAATCCTGAATCAGCTCTTCCTTTTCTGAACCCTGTTCTAGTACTTACATTCCAGGACTCTAACAGTACTTGACTATATATTACTATTGTACTAAAGTACAGAAGCTCTCATAGCCATGCTCCATTTAACCAACTCACTAGAGCACCAGCACTTTCTAAAAATCACACATACACCCCTCCACCCCACCCAGGTAAAACATACTAATGCCTCTGGCTCATAGGCTCCGCTGGACCTAAATGCCTTTTCTCTCAGCAACTAAGCTATGTGGTCATCAAGAATCAGTTGTGGGCCTCCCTAGTGGCCTAGGGGTTAAGTCTCAGTACTATCACTGCAAGGGCCCACCGTGGAGGCCAGAGTTCAATCCCCAGCCAGGGAGCTAACTCATACATGGTGCAGCAGACCTCTCCTGTCTCACCCACTGCATCTCACCCACTGAGCAGTGTATTTCAGTAAATCTGCCTGTTCTGCTCCCCGCTCTGTCTCTGGTGAATCCTCTCACCCCCCGCGCCTCTGGCCTACACCCCACTTCCTTGACACAAAAAATAAATGAATAAACAAACAGACTTAAGCTGCATAATAGCACATTATTGAGGCTGACTAGTTATCTGACCAGATAAGCAAAGCAACGAAGCAAAGGACAACTGCTGGAACATGTAGAATGACCTAGTATATGGAACTGGGCTTATTCCTAAACAAAAATTCTCCCTTTGTACAAGGCCGGAAGACCAGATTTATTAAAACAAATCTGAAACAAAAATGTTTGGTTTTTACCAGTTTCCTGAATTACAGTGTTTCTATGGCGCATAGACAGAAATTCTAACAGCAGTTTTCAACAAGTTCCAGAGAACAGATTTACAATAAATCCCCTGTGATCATTACTCTGATCCTGTTATAATTAATAAGTCTTTATATTAAACTTTTCCTTCTAAATTACTGTATAATTTATCCCTAATCAAGACAGACACAGAATCATTCTTAACACAAGTCCCCACAAACCTGAAGAGATGCTCCCCCATACTATTGCAGATGACTTCATCGTCAGGAAACAGTTCCAAGGCTTGCTCATAGCAACCAAGCAGGTCTTGTGTTCGACTGAGAGCATCAAGCTCTTCAGCCCATCTGAAGAGAGTATACTGAAAAGTTTCCTTTACAAAATAGAAAACAGCAAATTAGTCAATAACATAAATAATGAGAAAATATACAACACTGGTTGAAGATTTCACAGAGAATAAAACTTATTATGAAGCATCACCTTAAAGGTTATTTAGCTTTAGTAGGCACTGTTTGCTAAATAAGCAAATGCACACCTGAGTGAATCTGACCACCTACCTGGTGGTGACATACAGAACTTGACGGCTTGACCTAACCCACCTGGTGCAGCAGACCTCTCCTGCCTTGCCCATTGCTCCCCTCAGCAGTGTATTTCAGTAACACTGCTCCTCACTCTGTCTCTGGTGATTCCCCCCACCCCCTCCCTCTCTCTCTCTCACTCATACAAACGCACATACACACACACACACATACGTCTGGCCTACATCCCAGTTCTTGTATGCATAAATAAATAAATCTTTAAAAAGAAAGTACAGATGTTTCTAGTGATTAAAGATCACCATGTTACTAAACATCCCACAAAGGACAGGACAGCCCGTCACAAGAGAGAATTCTCCCATCCAAAATGCCAACAGTACTGAGGTTGAGAAACCCTGGGTGAAATAAATCAAAGTAGCTTGAGGGCTTCACACTGAAAAGTGAATGCACAATTAAGTTAATAACTGGGAAAAAATGTACAGGATTTCAAATAACCACCACAAATATTCCAAAGATTGAATCTCGAGTGTTATGAAAAGTGCGTCATCAAACAGAATAAAACAAAAATAAACTTTTGGACTAGAAAACCAATTAATGGTTACCAGAAAGGAAGGGGGAAAGTAATAGGTAAATCGGAATAAAAGAGATGATTGCATGATGAAGGCCAGAAATAGCCCTTCAGAGGTGGAACTCACTGGAGAATATACATGTTGCTTTTTAATGATCCACATCTGAAGCTTTTATGCTACAATGCAACGTGAAGTCAATTAAACATCCCATTTTTTAAAGACTGTATCATGAAATGATTAGGTTGATTCTAAACATTCTTCTGCACAGGGTAAAGACAAGTGCAAAGGTCCTGAGGTAGGGACATGCTAGAAACAGATACTGGCAGCGTAAAGGCCTTAGTAGCAAGCAGTCTTTGGAATTTCGAGTGAGATGGAAGTTTTGAAATAGTGAAGTGTTATGAAAAGTGCAGGCGGGCTATGTGGTGACCGCCTGCAGGAAAGCCTGGATTCGAGCCTATTCCAACCGTGGGTAGGAGATGACTGAAGCTGGAGCCAGGGCAGCAAAGAAGGGGTTGAGAGAAGCTTCTGGATCTAAGTCGAAGACTGAGTCCACAGGACCTTCTGATGAGCTGCTTGTGCGTGTAAACAAAAGAGGTGAACAGTAAACAAGGGTGAACAGTAACTAGCAACCATCAGCCACTCGCCTCAGCACCTTATTCATTCGTTCCTGCCTCCCCTCACTCTCTCCTCTTTTCCGGAACAGCAGCTCTGGCTGCGCCCCTCACCTTCACGTCGTCTTTCAGCTCCGGGGCCAGGCTGAGCACCAGCAGGTAGTGGGCATAGGCGGTGCCGAAGTCCCGGGCGCCCAGGCAGTGCTCCGCGCTCTGCAGGGACCGCGACACCAGCTCGTCGCGCCCCGCGGCCCCGGCCCCGCGCCCGGCGCCCCGGCGGGGCCTGGGCCGTGAGTTCGGCATGGAGCCAGCGGCCTCCACCTGCGCTGGCCGGGGCGAGGGAGGCTGCTGCGCTCAACGGAACGAGGAAACTGCGTCGATCGCTCCACCGCGCCGCGGCCCCCGGAGCGCGAGACCCCGCAAGAGCGCGGCAGCCCCGGGGCGCGGGCCGCGCGCCCCCCACGGCCGCCCCGAAACCCCGCGCCCCGCCCCGCTCGGCCGGCTCCGCGGACCGCGACGCCTTCCGGCCGGCGGCGCGCGCGAGTGACGTCGACGCGCGCGAAGGACGTCAACGCGCCCGACGTGCCACAGCGCCCACCCGCTTCCGTCACAGGGAGGCGCGGGGCGCACGGTCTTCCCTGGCGTCGCGCCGACGCTCACCTGCCCCTGCCGGGCTTGGGTGTCCTCCCCGGCCCCCGGGAAGGCGTGACTTCGGCTCCGGCGCCGCCTCCCCGGACGCGTCCGGCGCTGAGCAGCACCTGCGCGGGAGGAGGCGGGGGTGGGCGTGAGGAAAGGCCAGGCCTCCGTGCGGTGCTCGCGGCCGGCGTCGTGTGGCACCGGAGCCCAAAATGGCCGGGCTGGCGCGAGCCCGGAGGCAGCAGACGCCGCGTAGCAGAAGCACCTGGACTGAAAGAGGAAATATTTTCTCAGTCTTGGTTTAAGTTGCGCACACACAGCCCTGCGAGACGGGCCTTAAGTGACTTGGCCAAGATCACGCGCCGGGGAAGCGTCGGCAGCGCGCGAGCCCGGGTGCCCCGACCACCTGTTCTTGTTTCCACCTGCGCTTGCGGAGTGTTTGGTTCAGAGTCTCCCCGCGCTCCGGTTTTTCCGCATAAATTGTGGCCCTAAGAGATAGACTCAAAGCTTGAGACGCCTTCTGGGTGTGGGAAAGACAGTGAAAGAGGTCTCGCTTATTTGCTTTTGTCTCTGGTTTCGAACCTGTTAATGGTGACTATTAAGGAAAAAGTACATTTTGCATATCAAACTAACAAATTATTTGGGAAGGGCCCACCAATTCTCAAAATTCCGTCCTTTGCCTGTCTGCCTTCTCTTTTGATTTTATTTAAACTCCCCTGCCCGTGAGCTCCTACCTACGTAAAGCCTAATCAGTTCTTCAGAATCTGCTTCACTAGATTGTGGTCTGTTCCCCTAGTGAGTACCTGAAGGTAGAATGTATTCTGAAAACCATGTTTGTAAACTTGACACCGAGCAGAGTGGCCCCCAAGTCAAAACTCAAATTTTAGTAGAAACTCAAGTTTTAGTAGAAAATACATCCCGCACTCCCTGGCTTTGCATGGAGACTTTCCCAGCCCTTAAGAGCCCTTTTTCTCTCCCATCTTCAGTTGCTACTTTTTGTGCTAAACAATTTAATACTTAATTACATGGTATTTCCCTAACAAGATTGAAATGCTAAAGCCTCTAGTTCCAGTATAATAAAATAAAAAGGCCATTGAACTAAAGAAAAAAGTGCTTTCTAATCCAAACATGGTCCTTCCTCATCTAGCCAATAATCTTTCCTTATGAGTCACTTATTTGTAGAAAGGCCTAATATAGCTACCTTTCCTACTCTGGACACAAAATTAGTAATTCGCAACCAATGAAATAATGTATAAAAGACTTTTATATGTATAAAATATACATTTATTTTTAATGTTATGCATCAATGTTACCTAGAGTCATTTAAAACTTAATCTGAATTATTAAAATAAAAATTAGGTCTTTAACAACTTTTAAGCATTTCCTCAGATGTACGGAACCGTATATCCTTTAAGGGCCAAATCTAACTGGCTGGCAACTCCAGAAAGCAGAGGGAGACCTCTCCATCTTCCCAGAGATTTGAGTTAGCAGGGAAGCACTTGTATATCACTTTAGTCACCTCTAAGTCCCTATATCAGGCAAATTAACATCACTTTACAGATTACTTTTTACTGGGAGGAGGGTGTTCTTTTCTCTTGTTTTGCCTTTTGTTGTTTTATTGGTCTGTTTGGTTTGTTGAGATAAACTGGAACTTAAACTCCTGAAGCTTAAAATGGACATCTGGTAAGTCAGATAAGCTAAGGGACTGGGGAATGGCTTGGTAGGAAGTGGAGAGAGGGCAGAGGAGAAATGAGAGAAGCCCACTTTGCTTGTTTCATTATCACCCACAGTATCAAGCTATGGGCAGGATCTGCCAAAGAAGTGCAAGGGATACTTCTGCCCTTGCAAAAGACTTCAGATAAATGTGTGAGTTACTAGGACATAGCTAAAATGTGATTAGTCTAAAGAAATCACGGATTACTTGTGTTTCTTTGTAGTTCATTGACAGTTTAGACGCTACACACAGAAGATCATTTGAAAAAGATAGAACTGATACAACTAACATGGACTGTGGTCACCTTAAGAAACTGGAATAGGGCCTCCCCTGGTGGCGCAGGTGGTTGAGTGCAGTGCTGTGAAGCTGTCCGCAGCCTCTGCCACACGGGTTCGATTCCCCACCAGCCAGGGAGAACCCCACATGGCGCAGCAGACCTCTCCTGTCTCGCCTGTTGCTCCCCTCAGCAGTGTATTTCTTCAGTCTGCCTGTTCTGTTCCCTGCTCTGTCTCTGGTGAATCCTCTCACCCCCCACGCATCTGGCTGGCCTGTACCCCAGTTCTTGTATAAAATAAATAAATCTTTAAAAAAAAGTATAACGACTTATTTCCCTACGTTGCCTCATTACTAATTATTAAACTGTTCCTATATATTGAAAGTGAATAGTATTCATTGTAGTCACCTTTTAATCCTTTTGAAAGAGCTCTATACCCCATCACAAAGACCCCAGCAGTATAATGCAAAACAAGTGCAGGGTATAGATTTTATTTCTTGATCCTTTATCAAAGGTTTCTTAGAAATACTGAAAATACCATTCCTCTGTTCACAACAGCCCCTTTTCCCTCCTTACAACCAAAACATTATATTCAACTACCTTTGAGATTCCTTTGATTCCTTCATTTTCATTTTCTTTTTTACCTTCTTTCAGGGTTCTAAGAAAAATCTCACTGATGCAGAAAACCACCCTGACTCCACAGCAGGTTTAATTGCAATTGCTTTCACCATGGCCTGGGCAGCTTGTCAGCAAACCACACACGCCAAACAAGGAAGCAAAATTAACTGAAAGGCTCTAGGTCATCTTTCCAGTGTGCAGAGCCTGAAGGGTAAGAGGGCGTGGTATTAACAAGGGATGAGCAGTGCTACACACAAGGTTTCTTGTGTTTATACCTTCATAGCTTTTCATGTGATCTTGCTTGTTTTATTTTGTGGCTTGAAGCCCTTGTTCTCAAATCTTTGTGTACTTTACTGTAATTTGAGGAGGTTTTAGATAACAGCAATGTCTGGAATTCATACCCAGATATATTTATTTAGTTGACATAAGGTGGGGCTGTTAGAGGGACTGGGTATTTTTAAAAGTCCCCTGGGTGAGTCTAAACTCAGAAAGTGCTTTAAAAATCAGCCTGATGAAGGGGCCTCCCTTGTGGCACAAGGAGCTAAGTCTCAGCACTATCAAGCTATCAGCAGCCACTGCAGCGCAAGTTCCATCCCCAGACAAGGAGCTGACCACATGAGGAAGCAGACCTCTCCTGTCTCACCCGCTGCTCCCCTCAGCAGTGTATTTCAGTCATTCTGCCTATTTTGCTCCCCATTCTGTCTCTGGTGAATCCTCTCCCCCCAACTCCCACCCACTTCTGGTCTATACCCCAGCTCTTGTATGTATAAATAAATAAAATAAATCTTAAAACAAACCAGGGCCTCCCCTGGTGGCGCAGCGGTTGAGCGCTGGGCTGCGAAGCTATCTGCAGCCTCTGCAGAGCTGGTTCGATCCCCGGCCACAGGTGAGGGTCCCACATGGTGTGACAGACCTCTTTTGTCCTGCCCGCTGCTCCCCTCAGCAGTGTATTTCATTACTCTGCCTGTTCTGCTCCCTGCTCTGGCTCTGGTGAATTCTCTCACCGTTCTGCACTTCTGACTGTACCCAGTGCTTGTATAAATAAATAATCTTTAAAAAAAAAAATTAACTGACTTCTTTAAAAAAAAAAAAAAAACAGCCTGATGAATAGGGCCCTAGAAGGGCACCAGTGTTGTAAAGGAAACCACAACCCATGACTTTCCTCTCTTCAGAGACTTGCAGTCTTTCCTGGCTGGTACACTGCATCTGACCCACCCAGACTGTCACTGGCCAAAAGGAAAGTAAGGCAGATGCAGCCTTTCTCTGACACGCCGGTACGGCAGTGAGAGGTGCCAAGAAAGGGGCAAAGTACTAACAAAGCACAGCGGGCACTGCCAGTCCATCTGCTCCAGCTGCAGGCTGTCCAGGCAGACCATTTCAGACAATTTCTTAATTCACATAGAGATTCTGAAGAGCTGCGAAATATTAGCTGTGTAAATTCATGTATGTGTATTTTTGAAATTCTTGTGAACAACCTGGTTGGAGTTTATAGACAGCATGTTACATTGGAATTTTTGTATTTCAAGAAAATTTGTTTTGACTATTTGTCCAAAGTCCATTGTTTTTTAATGTAAGCCAATGATTTTTCCTTCTTTTTAAAGAACTGTATATAGTTTCATAGTGAAATGACTTGTGGAACTAATCTCTGTTGTTCTCATTCTTTGCTTATTACCTGAGACTTAATGAGATTTAAAGTAAATGTTTCCAACACTTTTATTCGGAGAGAAAAATTCCACACCAAATTATTAGGTATGAAAAAAATATTACTTCTGCCTATGCATATTTTTCTCTTTTTTAAGGTTTATTTTTATTTATGCATATAAGAACTGGGGTGTAGGCCAGAGATTTGGGGGCTGAGCAGATTCACCAGAGACAGAGTGGGGAACAGAACAGACCAACTGACTGAGATAGATACACTGCTGAGGGGAGCAGCAGGTGAGACAGGAAAGGTCTGCTGTGCCTTGTGGGTTAGCTCCCTGGCCAGGGATTGAACTCATGCTGCAGTAGTTGCTGATAGCTTGATAGTGTTGATTTTAACTCCTGCGCCACCAGAGTGGCCCTGCTATTTTTCTTGAAAACATTTTGATAGTGAAGATATCTCATATTTCACTGTTCCTTTTTTTTTTTAAGATTTATTTATTTATTTATACAAGCACTGGGTACAGTCAGAAGCGCGGGAGGGTGAGAGAATTCACCAGGGCCAGAGCAGGGAACAGAACAGGCAGACTGACAAAGTACACTCCTGAGGGGAGCAGCAGCAGCAGGAGAGGTCTGTCACGCCATGTGGGACCCTCGCTGGTGGCCGGGGATCGAACCGGCGCTGCAGAGGCTGCGGGCAGCTTCGCAGCCCAGCGCTCAACCGCTGCGCCACCGGTGAGGCCGTCATAGTTCCTTTCTGTACATCCAAAGGAGTTGTCTTTTCTGACTGCAAGAGAAAACCATAAACCCCCCCCCTTTTTTTTTTACATCAGCTAAGTTTTTGGCTCTCCACTGTCTTTAAAAATTGACAATTTGCATCCAGTGAAATCATCCTTTAGTGTCCAGTCTGTGTGTTGTGCAACCAACCCATATGCTCGCAGTTCCACCATCCCCATCACTCATCCTTGCGGTCGGTCCCTTTCCCTTTACACAGGTAATCTCTGATGTTCTCTGTTCCTCACGTTTTCTAAGTTTATTTTAAAATAAAATATTTTAAGATCCAATACATAAAGGCAGGGTTAGCACTTTTATAGTAATTTCACCAATGTTAATATTTCTTGGGACCTTAGGAAGATTTATGTTCTTTTATAGCTGATAGAGCTTGGGCTGGAGAGTCCCCTAAGCCAACCTCAGCTTTCTCCAGTTCATTCATCCCATTCATGCTGGTCGCCACTGCCACTCCCCAGCACCGTTTCTGCAAGAATCTTGTGAACCTGTCTATTTGGAAAATTAAATCCAGTTCACAGACATTCTCAAACCACTTGTCTAATGTTTCTACAAACACTTGAATTAGGCCTAAAATGTCAAGTTCATTTACTAAGAATCCACACAGATGACAAAATGTAATGTTCCCTCAATATCCATAATTCGTTTGTTGTCAGATCCTCCACTTAATCCTCCTCCTAGGAAATTATATTTTCAACTTTCTTGGAAACCAAGTGGAATGTCTCCCTGATGATTTATTGTTGTGTATCCTCACTGTAGGGCTGCTAGAACTTGGAAGCTGAAAATTCCCCTGGTTGCTGAAGATCAGGATTGCTTTGAAACTCTAGCAGATGGTAAAAGAAGGAGGGAAGAGTCTCCCAGTGAACAAAGATGCTGCCAGGTGCCTTCTGCGGGCTCTCTTTCAGCTAAGTAATGGCAGCAATGGTGAATTTCATAACTGGTAGAAATGAAGTAGGGAGCTTGGGTCAGGGGGCAGAACATCCTGCTCTTAGAGGTCCCCAAAGGCATTGGATAGTCCTTCCAACTACCAGCTCAGTGCTTGTCCAAGGCAGTGCCTGGCAGTTTGAAGTTTGAGCCCACACACACCCCTCCCCCGCCCTCCCCCCCAACCCCCACCATGTGTAGACAGCTGTACTTTGAGTCTTTGGGGAAGGACTTGCTGGTGGAACTTTTTTTTTTTTTAAAGATTTATTTATTTATACAAGAACCAGGGTACAGGCCAGATTCACGGGCGGGTGAGAGGATTCATCAGAGACAGAGCAAGGAACAGAACAGGCAGACTGACGAAATACACTGCTGAGGGGAGCAGAGACAGGAAAGGTCTGCTGCACCATGTGGGACCCTCACCAGCCAGCCAGGATCCAACTGGCGCTGCAGAGGCTGCGGACAGCTTCACAGCGCTATGCTCAACTGCCTGCGCCACCAGGGGAAACCCTTATTTTTTTTTAAATTAAGGTAATGTTTACAACAGTTTATATGACTTAAAGGTACAGGTTCCACCTCTTTTCAGATGTCTGTTACCACGCCACACCCACCACCAAAGCTCCCACAGTCCACAGGGTTCCCTGTTTCCCCTTTCTCCATTGGCCCCCAACCTCCACCCTCCCCTTTTGAAGCCTCAGTTCTGCAGTTAGATTTCTAGGATTTGTTTAGGTTGTCCCTTTGTTTTGTTTCTTTACATTCCACACATGAGTGAAGCAATCCAATGTTTGTCTTTCTTCTTCTGACTTACTTTGCTTAGCATTATCCCCTCCAGTTCTATCCATGTTTTTGCAAACAGCAACATTTCTTTTCTTTTTTTTCAGCTTCCATTCTGTATATAGACCACATCTTCTTAATCCACTCATCTGTCATTGAGCACTTACATTGTTTCTGTAACTTGGCTTTTGTAAATAGTCATAGGAGTGCATATATCCCTTCAAATTAGTGCTTCAGATAGATACCCATAAGTTGAATTGTTGGATCAAAGGCAGATCTTGAGAAACCATCACAGTTTTCCATTGGGGCTGGACATTTTACATTCCCACCAAATTATAGTTTCTTCAAGGCTAATAAGAATACGGCATCTGAATATATATCAATTGACTTTTTATACTGTTATATTAAAATGCATAGTCTACCTCACACTTTTTTTTTTAAAGATTTATTTATTTATACAAGAGCTGGGGTACAGGCCAGAGGCATGGGAGGGTGCGAGGATTCACCAGAGACAGAGCAGGGAGCAAAATAGGCAGACAGACCGAAAGCTCTGCTGAGGGGAGCAACAGGCAGGACAGAAAAGGTCTGCCGCACCATGTGGGAATCTCCCTGGCCGGCAGGGAATTGAACCCGCACTGCAGAGGCTGCAGACAGCTTCACAGCTCTGAGCTCAACCCGCTGCACCACCAGGGAGGCCCTACCTCACACTTTTAATAGATCTTGACCCATGCCTGATAAATCACATAAATCGGTCATTTGAAAAGTAGTTCACTGAATTCTACAGATTTTCTAAATTTTAACAAATTTCATTACACAGTATCAAAAATTGCATGTGTTAGTATTGCCCCTAATCTCATCAGAAATTCCTGATGTTTTGGGAAGTTGTCAAGATAAACATAGTGGATACAAATTTTCCAAAATTCTAATTTTTGCCCAAATAATCAAATTATCCTTTACTGAAGATGCCACTGACTTCTGATTAGCAAAAAAATTAAAAGACCTATGAAAGGAAGGAAAGTAAAATGTGCCAAAATCCTAGACCAAGTCTCTTTTTTAATGGAAGCACAAAGCTGAAATGGTTTTAGAGATCATCTAGCCCAATTCCTTCATTTTACAAGTGAAAAAACTAAGTTGTCTGAGGTACTAAGTGGCCCAAGGTCAGTGACAGAACTAAAATACAGAATCTTTCACATTTTCTCTTGCATAGAGCTATGATCATGAGAAGCAAGAGAAGAACTGTTGTGTATTTCTCTTGGAAGACGCTGGCCCAGCCAGCTCAGAGTCAAATGCTTAACCCAGTCCATGGGCTCGTCAGGGTGGAAGCAGATCCTGAAGTTGAAGGTCAGAACGCCTAAACACTCCTCCCCAAGCAGATCGCTCCCCCCTCACACAACTCAGGCTGGAAAAACGCTAAGACTGTGTGAGGTATAAGACCAGCCCCAGGAACTGGGGAGAGGGACAGTAAGCCCTCAGAAGTAAGCGAGGAGGCCTGGTGCCCAGGACGGGCGCTCTGGGAGCTGCGTGTAGAGTAACAAGGACATGACCAGGCTCTGGAAAAGCCCCTGTATGGATGAGTGTGTTTGACCGTTTTCAGCAGGGGGCTGTTGGCATTTGTCAAGGAACTGCCCTGTGCATTGCAGGGTATTGACCATCCCTACCCTCCAACCATCAAATGACCGGTCTGTATCCACAGTTACCACTGTGAGGAAAAATGTCCTGCATGTTTCCAAATGCCCACTAGGGGGCCTGCCTCACCCCCGCCTACCGTTTATCACATATTTGTTAATATTAGCACTCTGGTGAAGGTGGTGGGATACCATTCGGAGATAATTCGCGTTTCTTATCTTCCCGGGTGTTCTTGGCTCCCCTCCCTATAGCCAGTCCCCCTCCATCCAGAATCAGTAGCATTCATTGCTCCAGGACAAGGGTGAACAAACCCTTTCAGAAAATAAAATGTCAGTGTCAAAGTCACTTTTATTATACTTCATTTATAATTTCTACTTGCTTTATGTTCAAGCTTATTCACAGAAATAAAAAAGAATTGTAAGCTTAGAGGACGTGGCAAATACTCCTATCTCACATGATATTCAAGACTAGGTCTCATTCAAAAGAAGCGGATGGTGTAAACTTTGGTGGTTTTCAAGAAATACTGGTCAAACCACGATTTGATCTCAATGCATCAGTTAATGTGTACTGGACACCCTCTCTTGCCTTTAGTATAAAGTACAAGTAGCTCGGCTCAATAATTTTTTTCTTAAAGATTTATTTATTTACACAAGAGCTGGAGTACAAGCCAGAGGCACAGGAGGATGAGAGTATTACCAGAGACAGAGCAGGGAGCAGAGCAGGCAGACAGACAGAAAGCACTGCTGAGCAGTGGGTGAGACAGGAGAGGTCTGCCATGCGATGTGGGTATCTCCCTGGCCGGCCGGGAATAGAACTTGTGCTGCAGAGGCTGCAGACAGCTTCACAGTGCTGTGCTCAACCCACTGTGCCACCGGGGAGGCCCGACTCAATAATTTTAAAAATATGTATGCAAGATTACTATTCACAGAGTTCTTAGCAGGGTTAGCTCCCTGGTTGGGGATTGAACTGGTATTACAGTGGCTAGGGATAGCTTCAGAGTGCTGAGACTTAACCCTTTGTGCCACCAAGGAGGCCTTGGTTCACATTCTTATAAAGGTTTTAACTCTGATGCCAGTAACATTCAGATTTTAAATTTGATAGACATGGGAGCAGTGTAGACTCAGCCTGCCTTCGAAGGTGACCAAAATGGGCAATTTTGTACAATCCCATCAAGTCATCCTTGAGTTCATTCCCTTGCTTTGCTACTGGTGCAAAGCTCATGTTTTACATTAGTATTTTCTACCTTTCTCTTCTTCCAGAAGACAAGAAAATCTTAGTTTGTTCTCAAAGAATGCCAAAATAGTCTTAAGAAGAAAAAAGCTGGGCCTCCCCAGTGGCGCAGCAGTTGAGCGCTGGGTTACAAAGCTGCCCGCAGCCTCTGCAGTGCCGGTTCGATCCCCGGCCGCCGGGCGAGGGTCCCATATGGCGTGCAGACCTCTCCTGCCACCGGCTGCTCCCCTCAGCAGTGTGCTTTGGTCCGGCTGCCTGCTCTGCTCCCCGCTCTGACTCTGGTGAATTCTCTCACCCTCCCGCACTTCTGACTGTACCCAGTGCTTGTATAAATAAATAAATGAATCTTTAAAAAAACAAGAAGAAGAAGAAAGCTCTCAAACTCTCATAAACTTTTATTCAGCTCTCTCCTTCTTTCAAGGGAACTGTTGTTTGCTAAACTCTGCTTTATATTCAAAAGAGCAAAGTAACTGTATTCAAATATACTTCCATTTCTGCAACCAAGTCCTGCAAAATTTCGTGTGCTCATTTCAAGATGTGGGTTTTTTAGGGCAGCCTCCTTGCCTTAATTTGAACTAAGTGATAAAAGAAAGGAATGTGCTGAAGTTAGTCTATTTCATCGCATACCCGATGCCTGCTGTGGTTGAATTTTATTACTTGATTCATGAAAAAAAATCCGCAAACCTGGCTCTCAGGTCATTTCCTACAGACTGTGGCTCACTCTGTTGCTTAGGAGCTTTGCATTCTTTGCTTTTCATTTGGTAGAAGCAAGTTGGTAGCTTTAGGTGAAAACAAGTAGGTAGCTTGAGTGGTTATCTGTACTTTATTTATGTAAAGAATAAGACAAAACTTCTTGATCGTATTAATGTGGTCTCTGAATAAAGATGGTTAAGGCCTGAGTAGGACAGAAGAAGTGAATTTAGAATCTTTTTTCTCCTTCTGATGACTTCATTTTGTAAGTAGCAAGAAACCATGAAACATAAAATGCTAAGAACTAACTTATAAGCTCCACATTTAAAGACTAAGAAAAATGTGGGCCTCCCCGGTGGTGCAGCAGGTTGAGCACAGTACTGTGAAGCTGTCCGCAGCCTCTGAAGCACCAATTCGATTCCCGGCTGACCAGAGAAATATCCACATGGCGCAGCAGATCTCTCCTGTCTCGCCCGCTGCTCCCCTCAGCAGTGTATTTCAGTCAGTCTGCCTGTTCTGCTTCCTGCTCTGTCTCTGGTGAATCCTCTCACCCTCCCGTGCCTCTGGGCTGTACCCCAGCTCTTGTATAAATAAATAAATTAAAACAAAAATAAAATAAGGACTAATAGATAGTAATCCCTGAATATGCCAGCCAAAACATATGCCTTGCACTTGTTACTACTTTTTAAAGCAAGTTAAAAGCTGATAAGCTATTGAAAAACTCTTATCAGTCATTGCAAAAAATAGCTTAACCCATCCTAATCTGGCAGACTTAAAAGATCTAAATTCCTAAAAGCATTAGGGGATTTTTCCCCCCTTATTTGCTAAACATGCTGTATATGAATTTTTAAAAAAAATTATGAGAGACCTATCTGTATATGAATCATTTTTTTACAACAAGTTTAGAGTAAAAATGTCTTTGTATTCATGGGCTGTACCCTGTGAGTGTATCTGCAGCCTGCAAGAGCAGGTTGCTTAAGCTGACTCTACAGAACATTACAGGAAGTGTAGATTAGAATTTGCACATGCACTCTGAATTTGCTCCAAGGGGGTTTGCTAAGGTGTAATAGTAGCTCTTCTAGGACTGTTGAGTTCTAGGTCACCTCTGTGTGCTGTTAATATTACCGTGTGTTTCCTTCCTGTCTTTTGTTCTGTTCATATACATTTTTTAATTTGCAAATTAATATATAAATGTGAATATATTATACTTGCTAATTCATAATTTTATTACCTACATGTTATTAATGAAACATTTGCAACCTTGCAAAATAATCCATCCTCTAACTATAACATGATTTATTAAACTAGTTTCCTATTGTTGAACACTTAGGCTATTGTCACCTTTTGCCTGGTATAAATATTGTTGATCAGCATCCCTGAACTTGAATCTCTAAGCACATCCTAATTATCTTCAACAGATAATGTTCTTAAATATTTTTAAATGATCATGTCGGCTGATCATTTTCACCTTCTTGAAAAGTGACACTGGAGGGGCAAGGGTAGAAGCTGGGAGCCCAGTTAGGAGTCTATTACAGTAATCCCTGACAGAGAATAGGGTGGCTTGCAGCAGGGGGCAGCAGTGGAGGCAGTAAGTTACCAGATTCTGGATCTATTTTTGCAGGACGACAGTTTGGCTGTGGAGAATGAGAGAAAGTACAAGAGGTTTTGGACACCTGAGCATTTGGACCAATGGCAATGACATCAAGGAAAAGGCTGCAGGTAGAGCAGTTTGGGGAGAGAGAACAGACATTATTCTGAAGAGAGTGAGTTTGAGAAATCTACTAGGCACCCCAGGCTGGTGCTGGAATGAGAAGGCATTGGAACTATAATGTGGAATCACTTTAGATGATATTTAAAGTTAAGTGATCTTGGTGCAGAGGTTAGAGTCTCAGTGCTATCAAGCTATCACCAGCCACTGCGGCATGAGTTCGATCTCCAGTCAGGGAGCTAACCCACATATGGCGCAGCAGACCTCTACTCTCTCACCCGCTGCTCCCCTCAGCAGTGTATTTCAGTAGATCTGCCTGTTCTGCTCCCCACTCTGTCTCTGGTGAGCCCTCTCACCCCCTATACTTCTGGTCTACACCCCAGTTCTTGTATGCATAAATAAATAAACCTTTAAAAAAATAGTCAGGCGATCTGGTGAGATTAGCAGGGGAACAAGTATAAAGAGAAATGGGCCAAAGACGGGACAAGGGGCATTGCAACACGAAGTGCATTTGCTCAGCGCCACACATTGTTCTAGGTATTTTGCATGGTTGTAAGCTCACACATTTGATACTCAAAGCAACTCAATAAAGTGGTATTATAGCCCATTTTACAAAAGAGTTATCTGAGGCACAGAAAGATTGAACCCTTAAGTTGATAACTATTTCATAAAATAAACTGATGAAATGTTTTGATTCCTTTTTGAGTGATGCAAACTTATTTTGAAATAAACCATCTAGGTTTCTTCTTCTCAAGCTTTACCCCTGTGTCTCAATCATCTCAATAGTTACAGTGTCCATTCCAGTTAGGCTTTAAAGAACAGGCATGACTAATCTGTTCAAAGGTGCTTTTCTTTCCAGCTGACAACACAAATTCTAGGAAAGCATACTGAGGAGAGCCAGAAAAAGCTTATGTTCAAAAGGAGAAAACTAGAGCCATTTTTAGTGTTTGATGTTTCTTACCAACGCTAACTTCATCTTTTTTGACTTTCATGTGTCTCCTCTTCAAGAAACATGCATTCTCTGATTATATTTAAGTCAGGGAGGCAATTAAAGAGAAATTGTTAACTCTCACCACCTCTCTTTACAATTCATTTATTTATTTATTTTTAAAGACAGTCATTTTTATTTTTTAAAAGATTTATTTTTATTTATTTATGCATACAAGAACTGGGATTTAGGCCAGAGGCGCAGGGGTGAGAGGATTCACCAGAGACAGAGTGGGGAGCAGAACAGGCAGATCTACTGAAATACACTGCTGAGGGGAGTAGTGGGTGAGACAGGAGAGGTCTGCTGCACCATGTGGGTAGCTCCCTGGTGGGGGATCAAACTTGTGCTGCAGTGGCTGGTGACAGCTTGATAGTGCTCAGACTTTAACCCCTGTGCCACCAGGGAGGCCCTCCTTATTATATATTTAAATATCTCAACGCAACAGTTTCTAAAGGCAATACCTAAACTTTTATGCACAAGGCAGGAAATGTATCATAAGTTGACAAAAGACAAGGAGCACTATGGTAGGTTAGCCTTTACATGAGTCTTTCAGAAAAAAAAAAAAAATTTCACATTATCTCCTTGTTACCTAGAGGTTTTTACCTTTTAGGGTGAGGATGTGGATAAATTAATACAAATGAAACTTCCAGTATGCTTTTCTACCTCCACTTCTTTGGAATAGGGCTATTGTGAAAAGGGAGGTGGGTGTGAGAATATAAAAAACTTTTTGGGGGTTATATTAATTTTAGGAAAAAAGACAAATACAAATACTAACAGAGGATCTAAAAATAAAATTTCTGCCTGTCATTATTAGTGTACCTTAGAAAGTTTTCTGATACTTTTGAGGGTGGCTATAACTCAAGTTGAAGATTATTGTCTTAAATAATTCCAATAGAAGAGAGAGAGCCAGAGAGAAGGGTGATCATAAAAAATAAAGAGTGACTGCAGGAGGCATTTTTCTACTGAGTTCAGAATATGAGATGATGGACAGATGTGTACATTTACGTAAATACTGGAGCACAGCACAATCCTTGAATAACAATACCAGGAAAAGCAGAGTCCAGAATGAGCTTAGAGATGTGAAAAATAGTGAAAACCAGAAAGGTCCTTTTTAGGTCATGATCACAACAAGAACAAAAGCATAAAGGTGGAGGGGGAAGATGATGTAATGTTAAAAAGATAACAGAGAAAGCAGAACTAACCAAAGTTTCTTTTTATCTATCTAGTCTTCTTCTTTTTTTTTTTAAAAGATTTATTTATGCATACAAGAGCTGGGGTACAGGCCAGAGGTGTGGGGTTGAGAGGATTCACAGGGACAGAGTGGGGAACAGAACAGGCAGACTGATGAAACACACTGCTGAGGGGAGCAGCGGGCAAGTCAGGAGAGGTCTGCTGTGCCATGTGGGTTGCTCCCTAGCCAAGCTGGGGGATCAAACTCATGCTGCAGTGGCTGAGGACAGCTTCATAAGTTGTGTCTTAACCCCTTGCGCCACCAGGGAGGCCCTTCTCTAGTCTTCTTGCCATAACTACTAGAAAGGATGTAAGAGTAATGGCAGGAAGGAATCTGAAAGCAAGGAAGGTAGGAAATAGATCTTTTAAAAATTCAATCATCTTTACGTGTGGTATTATGCCCAGATAAATTGTATCCTGAGGTGTTTAGAGAGTTTGTCATTAGAATAATGCCAGTACAATTAACAATCTTAGAAAATAATTTCATAAACTGAATATCAGCATAGATCTATTAAGAAGAGTGCATTTAAACTAACCTAGGAACTTATTGTTCAAATTAGGACCCAGACTTTATTATTTTTTAAAATTTAACATCCTATTGTAATATTTCCCCAATATTTCTCACTTAATATTCTTCAATGCCATAACTTTCAATGGCTCCAGGGTACTCAATTGTATGAGTATTTCTTCAATTGCCTAATCAATCCACCACAGTCAAATTTGGTTTCACATATTTGGCTTTTAAAAACCATGCGGGGTTGTGGTCACTTCTTATAAAATGTTATAAATTATTACTTTTTTTTAAACTTTAGTAGAGTATCCCAGAAGAGCAATGAAGAATTATAAGGCCTTTAAATAAGTATCACCAAAACTGCCTTAAAAAGAAGTACCTAGGGCCTCCCCTGGTGGTGCAGGCTGTTGAGCTCCACACTGTGAAGCTGTCCGCAGCCTCCGTAGTGCCAATTCGATCCCCGCCAGTGAGGGTCCCACATGGCGCGGCAGACCTTTCCTGTCTCGCCCGCTGCTCCCCTCAGAGGTGTATTTCATCAGTCTGCCTGTTCTGTTCCCTGCTCTGTCTCCAGTGAATCCTCTCACCTTCCCGTGCATCTGGCCTGTACTCTGGTTCTTGTAAAAATAAATAAATCTTAAAAAAAAAAAAAGTACCTATTTGCATTCTCAACAACAATGTACAAGTGCTGCTTTTTCTAACCCTTACCGTGATTGGAGGATTTTAGTAGAAAAAGTTGAAAGGGGGACTTTTTAATTGTAATGAAATACCATTACCGGGCCTCCCCTGGTGGCGCAGGCGGTTGGTTGAGTGCCGTGCTGTGGAGCTGTCCACAGCCTCTGCAGTGCCGGTTCAATCCCGGCCGGCTGGCAAGGGTCCCACATGGCTTGGCAGACCTCTCCTGTCTTGCCCGCTGCTCCCCTCAGCAGTGTATTTCGTCAGTCTGCCTGTTCTGTTCCCCGCTCTGTCTCTGGTGAATCCTCTCAACTTCCCGCGCATCTGGTCTGTACCCCGGTTCTTGTATAAATGAATGGGTAAATCTTTAAAAAAACAAAGAAAGAAAGAAATACCATTTTCTTTTCTTTTTTCTTTAAGATTTATTTATTCATGCATACAAGAAAGGGGTACAGGCCAGATGCATGGGAGGGTGAGAGGATTCACCGGAGACAGAGCAAGGAACAAAACAGGCAGACTGAGCGAAACTGCTGAGGGGAGCAGCGGATGAGACAGGAGAGGTCTGCTGCGCCATGTGGGTAGCACGGCCGGCCAGGATCGAACCCGTGCGGCAGAGGCTGTGGACAGCTGCATAGCACTGTGTTCAACCGCCTGCACCATCAGGGGGGCCCTCCACCACTTACCATTTTCACCGGACAATTCAGTAGCATTAAGCACAGTCACAGTGGTTTTCATGTGATTTGCCATGACAAATAATGTTGACAAATACAAGCCACTTTTTTGAGAAATGGAAAATTGCTACTTAATTTTTCATTAAACATGCACTTTCCTTTCTCTCATTCAAATCAGAAGGGTGACAGGGAAGTACAGCATGTAAATAGTTAAGGATTTGTACCTATAATAAAGGACAACAATTTGAGTGATGGGGTGGAGACTACTCTCTCTGTGGACTACTCCGCGGCTGCTCTACCAAGCTTCCATTTGCTTGCATAGCTTTACCCTCAGCCTATAATTTTCTGTGCTTCCTGTTGACCCTGTTGACTGGTGGCCTGGAAACCTCATCCGTCTTGCAGGTCACTGGCTGCTACATCAAATAGCTAGCGAGAGGTGCTATTTCTTCTATGGCCACTGGAAGGAAGAGCTGTTCCAACCTGTTCACATACCAGAGAGCATCGTTTTATCAGAACGTTCACCATTCATGCTCAAAGGTGTGTGTTGGTTACCTTGCTTCAGGAAATGTCAGATAAAGAGAGATAGGTGATCTTTCAGATTATCCACAAGTCAAAATAAGAACTCTGTTCTCTGTCACTAACATTGCTAGTGAGACCAGGAGCTGGAATACAGGGCAGCTCAGCAATTCCATCCTGGCTTTTTTTAAACATCTTTTCCATGCCATTGTTTATAGTCAAACTCCATTTACACGTGAAAAACCCAAGAGGACATGGTAAAGGCGGGGGACTATCAGGACGATAGACATAGAACAGGCGAGTTCCCAGCAAAGAAGGATGTTTTAGTCAGGCTGCTCCAGAGAAGCAGAACCAACACGTAGATCCAACATAAAGGAAGGCAGATTTGTTACAGGGATTGGTTCACGTGGCGACAAAGAATGAGAATTCGCGCAACCTGCCATCTAACAGCTGGACAGCCAGGAAAGCCCTAGCATGAAGATTTCGGGACCTGGAGCGCCTGTCACTGAGCGCAGGAGACGTCTCAGCTCGGGAAGAGGGTGTTCACCTTCCTTTGCTTCTTCTATTTGCTCCTGCAGTGGATTGGACGGATGATGCCAGCACACTTTGGTGACGGTGGATTTCTTCACTCACTCTGCTGAATCAAATGCTAATTGCTTCTAGAAATACCCTCGTAGGCACACCCAGAAATAATGTCTTACCAGCTCTTGGGCATCCCATAGCCATGTCAGGTTGGCACATCAAATTAACTACACAGGAGACTTAGGGTCATATGACTCAGAACTAGGTCATCAAAGATGACAACTTAATGACTTGTTGCCCCAGTGTACATGCGCCAGGGGTTCTGGGCTCCCTTCTCAGGACACAAATGGGAGTATTACTGTGTTCCGTTTTAACACAGCAGAAAACAATTACCAAGTGCTCCAATTTCCCTGAAGGCCCACTGCTGTATAGTACCAAGCTTGGTATCTACTTACTCTTTTGTTTGCAAATAAATAAATAATTCCTTGATTATGGCAATTTAAGCAAAAAGGCATTTCATGTGAAGGATGGGGGTACCATCAGAATCCCCAAGAACCCGCATTGGGACAGGACGCTGGACAGCCTGCCAGGCAGCAGGTCTCCTTCACACTCTTGGCTGCAACAGGGAACGTTGTTTCTCCCGCCACTGCTCTATGGTGCTCAAGAGTCAAAGTCCTGGGAAAGAGGGGCTGGCTGAGCTGAGGTCATGTGCCAGCCCGTGGCTGCAGCAGGCCCGAGAGCAAGGGTTTGTACCAGTCTCCAGGGATCTTTTTGGCTTTCCTCCTGTTAGGCTGGCACTTGAATGTCACTAGGATTTCAGGCTATGTGGGGAAATGACGGCCCAGCTGGAAATGGGGGTGCTCTTGGGAGGCTGGGATAAAGGCTGAGCATCCCAACATGTCTGTATCTACCACTGAGAGCAAAAGTAGAGATCCTTTTAATGGTATCAAAGCCCAGGAGCCCCTGGAAGGGGTATGTGCTGACTCGTTTGACTATTCTCCAGATCACTTGATTGCTTTCATTCCCGAACTCCCCACCCCTAAGTATATACATTTAAAAAAAAAAATTCATAGGACAAATTGGCAGGCCTGGAATTCTTGGGTTATAAGATAAGACTTGCATTTATACTTTTTTTTTTTCATTTTCCATTTCCCTGTAACACAGAGTCCCATGGACGCTGAGAACATGCCTCTAGTCATGGCAGATTGACTTTCCAGTGGCTGGACAATTGCCCGGTTGAAGGTCACCCTGTGGAAACCTCTTTCCTGGTCATGCCAGCGTGTTTGGGATGCTGGAAACACATACATTTCCTAATGACAAACAATTTTTTAAATATCCATTGCTATCTGGACAAAATCAACCACAGGTCACTGCTTAGGTCAGTTGATCCACGTTTTAGGAAAGAGGATAGTATTTGCCTGAGGGATCTGCAGGCAGCCTGGTGATAACTCCCCCTTCTGCACACCAGGCGTTTCCAAAAGCTGGGGCAGGGAAGCATGATTGCCCAGCAGGGTGCTGATTATGAGACTTAGCCCACATCGCCCTGAGCCAGGTTCCTCTAACTCCACACTTGAAAAGGTGAGTCCTGCATTGCTTCAGAGAATTGTAATTTATTTATTTATTTTTTTTAAGATTTATTTTTTATTTATTTCTTTATTTGTACAAGCACTGGGTACAGTCAGAAGCGCGGGAGGGTGAGAGAATTCACCAGAGCCAGAGCGGGGAGCAGAGCAGGCAGAAGGACCCAAGTACACTGCTGAGGGGAGCAGCGGGCGGCAGGAGAGGTCTGCGCGCCATGCGGGACCCTCCTCCGGTGGCCGGGAGCAGCCGGGGATCGAACCGGCACTGCAGAGGCTGCAGTCAGCTTCGCAACCCAGCGCTCAACCGCTGCGCCACCGGGGAGGCCCCAGAGAATTGTAATTTAAATGTGGGAGAATTGGAAAATCTCTCCCCTGCATCTCACCCTCACATTCCTTAGGTATTTCCCCATCATGGTCTCACGGGGAACACCCAGCAACCGTGTATGCTGAATGAAGCATCCCTGTGCTCTGTTTTATAGTTACCCAGGTGTCAGCATGTGCCCTGTGGCTACAGGACCCGGATGTAAATCCCTTGAGATTAGGGATTTCCTAACTTTAGTATTGCTTATTGCCCTTACTACAGTGCCTTGCCCGCTCCAGCTACTCAATTGGTTTGCTGGCTGAATATCCTTGGGTTTGGGCTAGTTCTAGAACTTCCTTGGGATCCCAAGTTATGATGTCTAGGAGGGCTGGAGAAGGTGAGCTCTCCTTAGGAAACAAACAGAGAACCCTGGTGGAGTTCTGAACCCACATCCAGTGTTTTCCAGGAAAGGAAGAAACCTGTGCGAAAGCAGAACCCCTATCCCTTCTGCACACCAGGCGTTTCCAAAAGCTGGGGGAACCCCTTTCCCTTCCTCAGGGTCTGTACCCCATGTGTTCCGGCCACCTGGCCTCTTTCAGTATCTTGTGCTAATTCTTTGACAGAGCTTCCTCTCGACATGTTCCCTCTCTCTCCACATCACAACCACTTCACTTTTACCCACTAGCACCTCATCCTTCAGCTCTCAGCTTCATTGCCAGTTCCTCACTGACTGCCCTGTCCCGGCACCAGGTAGTTTTCCTAGCATTCATCAGTTTTCATTCAATCTTTATATTTGTGACTACATGATCCATTATTTCTCTGATTGGAGACAATTGCTCCTTGAGGGCATGAGCTGTGCTTGTTTTGGTCGCTATGGCAGTTCTAGTTCTAGCATGTGTCCTGGCACTTAATAGGCGAGCAGCAAATACTAGAACAAGGAAAACTTCACACACGACAGGACTCTGCCCTCTGCAGTATGTTGCCGGGAGAGGCAAGTATGTTCACTATTCAGGGTTACAGAGATTTATTTAACACAACTCTGGTGGCCATGAGGCCCCATGTAATCTGCCATTGGAGTACTGGGGAACCTGGGAAGCTGGGGGTGTATGTTCTAGTCTAAGTCTGCAGGTTGGATAACCTCTGGAGGTAAGAGGCGATGGAGGTTCAGCGTAAAGAGAGAGGGAATTTGCCTTTCCTTGGCCTTTTAGTTCTCGTCAGGCCCCCAATGGGCTGGATGGTGCCCACCAGCTCTGCTGCAGTGATCTTTACTCACTCAGGGTGTGGGGTCAAACGCTAATCTCTTCTGGAGACACCCTCCCGGACACAGGGTGGGAAATTTTTTCCTAAGCTTCTGGGCATCCACTAGTTGTTTATTGAGAGAGAGAGACACGGACGGAGAGCGAGCGAGTGCACACTCCCCAGGTGTTGTTGAGTCAGCACAGTAATACTTCTCACATCGGTATTACCTAGATTGGTAATTCAAGAGCTCTCAGTTGGTGTTCTGTGAAGAAAGAATTATTTTAAAAACAGATGTAATGAAAATGTTAAACACTTTCTGGAGAGTTATTATTCTGTGATGATTCATGTTTAAGAAGAGATGCACAATAAGCTTTTGTCAGGGGTTATGTGTGGGGAGAACCTCCTTCATTTTACATTTGCTTCTTTAAGTGATAAAATCCATATAACATAAAATTTACCATTTTAGCTATTTTGAGGTGTCTGGCTTGACGGGATTAAGTATATTCACATTGCTTGCGGCCACCGCCATTGCACTGTATAGATTACTAGCTCACAACTCACTGTACAGCACTCTCATAACCACCTCCAGCCCGAAGGGTGGCTCCTGGGGTATTGCTACTTGGCAATACCCCTACTTTTGTCTTAGTGCTCACTTGAGGGGCAGGTCTCCAGGGCTAAGGGAGTCAGGACAGACCAGTCTCCTCAACTGGGCTGATACCCACGTGGAAATAATTGTAATAAGGGTCTATCTTCCTAGCACAGGCAGGGATGTTGTTTGTAGGTGAGTCTGGAAAGTTGATGTCTAAGTTTTCTGGAGGTTGGACTTAAGAAGAGCAAGGCTGAAAGAATCACAGAGGAATGAAGCTGGGGCAGTGCTAAAGTTTACCCTACTGTTCCTGGGAGGTTTTTAGTGAGATGGGCCAGTAATTTCTTGTTTAAGTTATTTTGGCATTTCCTCCCTTAATACCTAGGAGAAAAAGCAGCGTAATGCATCTTGGAAGATACCCAAAGATGCAGCTTCTGTCTTCTCATTATAACATTTATGTTTCCTTCTTTCCTGAAGGTGTCAACCTGCGGTAGAGACTGCCAGTTTCCTGCTTACAAACTATTGCTCTTTGCCCTCTTTGTAAGGACCTTCGGATTTCATCTATGGTGGTGATGTTCCAGACAAAAGACTGAATCTCCCATTTTCCCTCGCAGGAAGTGTGACCACAACCTGCAGCAGGTGAGGAAAGGGGCTGACTCAGCTGGAAAAGAGATCCACCCTTTGCCATCCCTGCTTTCACAGAAGGGGAGCTAGGAGACATCCTGGATGATGGGATGAGATAGGGGCCAGCACTTCCCTGGGGGCTGTGGAGTCATGTTAGAGTATTTGCTTTTGAACTTCTCTTACGTGCATGTGAGAAAAATAAGCTTACAATTTAAACTGTTTTGAATTTTCTGTTAGAATGTGTCTGAACCTAATTCTAACAGACTCACAGCCTGAAATATGTCCAAAAGACGCAGGATGACCTGTATTTGGCTTACTGGGCAGCAACTTAGCGACTCAGGAGGGAAAGAGCTTTATATATAGCAGGACCTACTTTGGGGAAGGATAATCTCTGTTTTATCTAGACTGGGACTTGGCCACCTTGGGTTGATCCAAATCCTTAAATGACACAGGTCCTGAGCAAAGCATAGAAACACCTGCCTGACATACATACTTGAATGCCTCTCCCAGACTCAAACTTAATGAGTCAGAATGAAACCGATCTTGTCCATCACAGTCCTCCCTGTCACCACATTGATTTCTTAGTCCACATTACTCTTCTAGTGAATGTTCACTAAAGTTCATATTCATCCACTTACTGTGCCGCGAGCCCGGGGGCTGTCTTTGACAACTTCTTATTCATTTTTTAAAAACTGAAGACACATTTGAAATAATATTATGTGTCTGGTGTACAACATAGAAATTCAGTATATATACATAAATATAGTGAAATGATCCGCTCTAGAAGTGTCCTTAACATCTAGGACCACACACAGTTACGATTGTATGTTAGAGCTTTTAAGATACGCTACTTAGTAAATTTCAAATATACAACACAGCATTATTTTTTTAAAGATTTATTTATTGATGATTATAAGAACTGGGGTACAGGCCAGAGGTATGGGAGGTGAGAGGATTCACCAGAGACAGAGTGGGGAGCAGAACAGGCAGACTGACTGAAATACACTGCTGAGGGAGTGGCAGGTGAGTCAGGAGAGGTCTGTTGTGCCATGTGGTTAGCTCCCTGACCGGGGATCTAACTCATGCTGCTGAGGCTGCGGATAGCTTCACAGCGCTGCCCTCAACCCTTGTGCCACCAGGGAGGCCCTACAACACAGCATTATTGATATTACCATTCCAGTTAGCATTTTCATATTTTTCAGTTAAATACCCAGAAATGGAAGATTCTGTGGTCGTTCTAAAATTTTTGAGGAACTTCCATACCATTTTCCATAGTTGCTGTCCCAATTTATGTTCCCACCATCAGTGCACAAGAGTTCACTTTCCTCTACAACGTCACTTTCTTCCTCATTTCTTTTTTTCTTTTTTTTTCTTTCTTGTGGGACCCTCCCTGGTGGCTGGGGAAAGAACCGGCGGGCGCTGCAGAGGCTGCGGGCAGCCTCACAGCCCAGCTCTCAACCGCTGCGCCACCAAGGGAGGCCCACTTTCTTCCTCATTTCTAATGTTGAGGCCATTGTCAAGACCCAGAATTCCCCTCTACAATATGTTTTGATGTGTCTATTTCTCTCTGTCTCCATGTCACCTGGAGGGCTAAGAGATACCTTTTCTTGCTTAGACAGCTGCACAAGTCTTATGTCTGGATTCCCATTCTCCACACTGTAGCTTGAGAGAAATCAGCAGGCAGATCACATTACACAATGCTGAAGACTCTTCTTTGAGGCTCCCAAATGCATTAGGATACAATCTTGAATCCTAAACATAGCCTCTGAGGCTCTGCACGAGCTGGGTCCTCCCTCACCCTCCAACCCCCAGTGCATTCTTAAGCTAGCTCCTCCCACTTACTGTGCTTCAGTCCCCAACTTTTTTATTTATAATCAGTTTTGAAATATGGCTTGAGTTCAACTTCAATGTTTTTCCCAAGCCAGTTATCCCCTATGTTGATGCTTTGCTGTTGGTGATTACAAATTGCCACAAATATCTGCCCCCATCTTGTTTTGTCTCAATTGGATCATCCACAGTCTAGACAGCTGTGAGACTCTGGGTTGGGGAATCTGCTACAGTATAGGGATCTGTTCCTCAACCTGATGACTCCCTTTCGCTTGGTGATGCGACACCCAGACATGTACTCCTTGTCTGCTGCTCATAGACACACAGGGAACTCTGGAAGTAGAGCTGGGAGAGAAGGTGCATGGAGGAGAGCCTTGAAAGGATCAGTGTGGCTTGCTCTGAGGTTCTAGATCCATTGTCCAGTGCTCTCTATCAGGTAATCCTCGCAGCCCAGCTCAGATTTGCTGAAATCTGGTCTGAACTTCTAATACCACCCAGTCTTCGGTAGCTACTGGAGAAGGTAACATCACCCAAATCTTGTTCACTGAGGGCTGAAGCATCAACAATTGCTTACCCATGCAAAGCTGTGATCTTTTCTTGCTGTGAGTTTGGTGCCAGTGCTCCGAAGGGCTAGTGAGAGTTCAGGTCATGAGTTGTATTTCAGGTAGGACCAGTATTTATTCACCTGTGGTGTCCCTCATGCTTTGTAACAGCTACTTTTAGGGACAGAGTCCACACTGAGTTGGAGTCTGACCTTTTTTAGTATCTTGAATCGCAAAGGCTCTCCTATCCCAGGGGCCAGATTACTCTGGATTACTCTGCTCCCACCCACCTATTTACTGGTTAACTCCTATTCATGCTTCTGGTCACTGATTAAAGGACACTTCTTCAATGAGTTTTTCCTGGCCACACTCTATTTACATCAAGTCCCCCAATTATAATCAATCCCACACCCATGAACTGTGTGGCACTTTAATTTTAAATTAGGTACATATTTGTGTGAATTTTTTTTTTAATGGTACCATGTCAGTCTTTCTCCATAGACCAAAAGCACAGTGATGCCAGACAGGGTTTTGTGTATTGTTGCATCTCTAATACCTTGCACAGTGGCTAACGTGCATAGAAGAACCACAAATATTTGTGGGAAGAATGAATGAATGAACAGAGTCAGCTGAGACCTGGGAGCTCATAGCATCCGCATCTGTGATCACTTTCCTTGGATTCTGTTTTAGGATTTAAAGCTGTGATTTCAAGGGGATAGACTCCCTCTCTCCCCCCACCCAACTTTTCCCATACTGATGGGAATCTTCACCTCCTCCCTACCCCCTCTCTTCAGTACATCCTTCCCACTGCATTCTCCATCTCCCAGGCATCATCATTCTAACTTTTCAGCAGGTGCTTTATAGACACAATTTTATTAAATCTTCTCAACCAACCTGCAGTTGCAATGTCAGCACCTCCATTTCATGGATGGCCAGTCTGAGCTTTAGAGAAAAGGTACCTTTGTCAGGTCACAACTATTAAATAATGAAATTGACTCAGAACCCAGCAATTCCTGTCTTGCCGTAGACCCATATGATTTCTCTTCACTTGGTCAGATTTCTCACTCATTCCACAGTTGCTGATCATCTCTTCCAGGCACTATATCCACGGCGTGATTGAATAAAACCAAACTAGGCAGGCCCCTCTTCTCTCTGCGATCACAGTAGCCTTATTAGCATTGGAAATTTGATTTCTATCCACCTGCCCTTTAATACTGGTGTTCGTGTGTAAAATGACATACTTCACAGCATGTGTTGTTGCAACACACACTTGCAGTGTTGTGTTGTTTTAAACCACATTCAGTGAAGTAGAGTTCTGGAGACTGGGAGTGGAAAGTGGTAATAAAGGAGAGGCAGCTGTGGATCAATACATGTGTTTTTAAACTTTTAAATTGAGATATATTTCACATACCAGGGAAAAAAGTTAACTCATTTAACATAGGCCATTCAGCGATTTTTAGTATATTCAGAGTTGTGCAACTAATATCAAAATCTAAGTTTAAGTAGTTTTCATCCTCTGCTAAGGAAACCCTTCTTGAACCCCACCCCCCCTCCAGCCCCTGGCAACCACCGATGGACTGTGGGTAATTTTCTGTTCTGGATATTTCATCTGCGCTGAATAATATATGGGGTCTTCGGTGACTGACGTCTTTCTCATTAAATGTTTTCAAAATTTGGATGTAACAGGCACCAGTTCCTCATTCCCTCTTATTGGAGGTTAATATTCCACTCTTTGGATACCCACATTTTCTACTTGGGTTCATCCCACTTTTTGGCTACCACGAATGATGCGTTTACGAACAAGGATTTGCCTGGACTTACCTTTCCGTGTCTCTTGGGCTTACAGGTAGGGAGTCAGTCGCTGGTCCAAGCTCTTTGAGGGTCAGGAGGCCTTCTTGGGGGGATTTTTGCTCAGAGGATGGAGACAGTGTTTACTGACATCCCTTCTTAAGTGTTCCCTCCCCCCGCCCCCCTTATTTGCCTGTTTTATTCTCCTCTTTGGAGACTCCAGCCCCTCTGCTGGTCTGGGATGGGGGTGGTTGGAAACCGAAACTCTCCAAACCAAACGTGCTTGGTAAAACATTTTGAATTCTCTGGAGGATGGACATTGAGGTAATAATGTTTATCTGTTTATCTGCGGCTTAGCCATTCCGAGGACTGTTTTGTAACAAAAGAGCTCATTGAGTAGGAGGCTTATTTAGCTCGCTGCGGAGGGCTGCTCTCCTGCAACGTGCTGTCCAAACAGATTCTTAATTACCCAGCTCAGTGTCTGAACGTTTTAAAGAATCCCTTTGAAGTTTCTTGGTGATGCTACCCTTCTCAGTAAACCTCTGCGCATACACATGGTGTGGGCTTGGGGGAAATGTCTGTAGGTCTGCTGGAGAGTGCTGGGCGCGTAACTGCTTAGTAAATTGGTAGTGGCTATTATGAAAAGCGACTCCAACGACCAATTGCGGTTTCCTTTAGGTATAAGTGAAATGTCAACTTTTTTTGGGGGGGGGCGGGTGGCGCACCTGTGAGTTGTTTCAGAACCCAGCGGCTTCCCAGCAGCACTGGGGTGCGTTCACGGCCGGTCGTCACCCCTTCCCGTGAAAGCCACACGGACTTGGGCACGTGCCGTGCAGGATAAAAGGGTCGCGGCTGCCCACCCAGACCCGCTTCCCCACCGGATCGCGGGGCAGGTCTCGCCACCCTGGCCCTGTCCCTCCGCTCTCCCCCGCCAGGCGCCCGAGCGCGCGCGTCCTGCCCGGGTAAAGCTCTCCATCCACAGCGCAGACGCCACCCGCGCTTTCCTTGAAGCGGGGGCGCAAATGAGGAAAGGAGAGCCCCGCGTGCGCGTCCCCTCCCAGCTCTGGGGTGTCCCCCGGCCAGCCAGACCCCCGGGCTGGGGCGCCGGCTGCGGGATGAGGGCGTGCCGCTGGGCAGACACCCCTTCCCGAGCCGGGCGCGCTCTCCGGTCGGGGAGCCGACCCCGAGTCACCCCCGAGAGGAGCCGAGGACAGGGGAGGCGCGCGGGGTGGGGAGAGCCGCGGGCCGAGATTCTAGCGCGGGGCCGCCTCGGAAGGAAGGGGAGGGGCGCCGGCGCGGGGAAGAGGCGCAGAGGCGCCGGGAGAGGAGGGGAGAGGAGGGGCGAGGAGGGGAGAGGGGGGCGGGAGGCGGAGGGAAAAGCCGGGGGCGCGCGGGGCCGCGCGGGGCGGGCCCGGGAGGCGCCCGGGGCGGGGCGCGGCGGCCTCGCGCCTCGGGCGGGCGCGCGGCGCGGGGGCCCGGGGCGGGGCGGCGGCGGGCGCCCGGGCTTCGGCGGGGGCTGCCGGATTGGGGCGCCGCGCTGCTCGCTCGCCTGGCGGCTGCTGGCGCGCACGGTCCGGCCTCGCTCCGGGCACAGGTCCGCGCCGCCCGCCCGCGCCCCGCACCTGGCGGCCGCCCCGCCGCGCGCCCCGCGCCGTCATGGGGCTGCAGCCCCTGGAGTTCAGCGACTGCTACCTCGACAGCCCGTGGTTCAGGGAGCGGATCCGCGCCCACGAAGCGGAGCTCGAGCGGACCAACAAGTTCATTAAAGAGCTCATCAAGGACGGGAAGAGCCTCATCGCGGCCACCAAGAGTAAGCGGGGCCGGGCGCGCGCGGGGCGGCGCGGCCAGGCCGGGGGAGCCGCTCCCCGGGGAGGCGGCGGTCCCGGGCCTCGCGCGTCCCCGGAGGGTCGGGAGACCTTTTCGGCAGCTGGAGGCCCGGGACCCTTCTTCGCCCAGCCAGCAGGGGCGCGGCCCGGGCGGCCTCCGCCAGCACCCCTGGGTGCTGGGGCTCCGCTGAACTGAACCGGACCTGCGCTCGGGTCCTTGCACACTAAGGCTGCCCGCGGACGGGTGCAAAACAACCTATAGGGTGACACGTTTTGTCTGTTGGCCTCTCAGAGAGTTTGCAGGATGCTTGGAAAACCTTCTGGGTGTCGAGCGCTTCCGGAGCACCTTCCGCTCACCCTCTCTGTGTTTTTGATTTCCCCCGACTGTCTGGTCTTGGTCTTAAATTCGCCAAACCAGAAAGTTCACCTGGCCGTGTGCGCTTTCTGCACATTCCTTCCTCCTCCAGCGCCTGGGAGGGTTCAAAGATTGGCGCTTGGAAGGGTGAGCAGACAGCCTGCCTTCTGGCCTGAGTGAGCACTGCCTGCAAGCCGGGAGTTCCACCCTGGTCAAGCTCCATGCTTTCCTCTCCTGCTCCGTGACGCTTGTCAAACTCTTGGGTGGCTGCAGAAGAAACGGGAGTGATGTGCTTAATTGCAGTAGCTGAGAAGAGTCTTTGTAAGGTGGGCTGAAATTTAAGCCAAAGCGCCGACTTAGGGATGCTGCTGGTAATGGGAAGGTATTAGCTCCAGGAAGGAGCCTGACCACACTTGCAACCCACCTAACCACACCTGTAACCTATCTGACCACACCTGTAAGTCCTAGGTGCTTCTGAGGATGCCTGTGCATTCCCTTTAACCTCTTCAAGAGACCTGTGCATCTAGCCTGACCTGTGTCGTCTGGGACTTTATCTCTTCCCTGGTTTCTCAATTCAACAATCTCTGCCTAGAAAATTTGTCTCTTCTCACTGGCTTGCAGACATTTCTGGGAAAAGTACTCCATGTCAACTTCTCCCACCCCTCCACCCCCCGTTTTGCATTATGAGAGATTAAAAGCTCCTGGACATCATGTCTCAGGTACCAAGCACATTACTCGGAACAGGAGATACTCAATAAATGAATTGAAATACATTTTAATGGGAAGAATTTAGTGAGCCATCCCTGTAATTTTGGAAGCAAGTTGCTCCACTTTTCTGGATGGTGTCCAGGGTTCCTTTTGGCTGTGTGACCTCTTTGGTTTTGCACAGTGTGGACGGGGAGTCACTATGTTTGGAACATGTGACTAGGGAACTGACTTGGTTGATGGGGCTCCAGTGCCTTGGCATTAAGTATGTGTGTGGGTGGGAGGTAGCGAGAGACTGTAATGCCCAGGAGTGGGTATGGGAAGAGGACCTGTGTGGGTGTGGGGGTGTGTGCTCAGTGTGAGGGAGAAGACTGCTGCTCCAGCTTACTTTTCATCAGTGTCCCTGGCAGTGGGGGTGATCCTTCTGCCCTTAGACCAGCTGTAGCAGCTCCCTGCAGAGCTAGGGAGATGAAGAGGGAGGTCTGGAGAGGGGCAGAAGGCAAAGCCAGTTTGGCCACTGATAGAAAGCTATTTATGTGACTGTGCATTAGCTCTGCCAGCAGGACACCAGCCTTGTGTTCCAGCAGCAGCTCGTAGGTCTGGGGGCCAGCTGTCAGCTTTCCTTTCCAGAGTGTTAGGCTTATCCGAATTTGTGAATCAGTATCTGTAAGGGGCAGGACTGGCCACAGTGCAGGTTTCTGATCCCATGCAAACCGGGTAAGGAGGAGTCAGAGTCCTCAGTGGATTTGCAGGTCTTTTATTGGGTTCACCAGCAATGGCAGGCAGGGGTGCTGGCTGGGGCTGGGAGGCTGGCAGGCCTCCCAGCCCCAGCAAGTCTTTATCTGGGCTCTCTGGCGTTCTCTGCTTCTGCTTCGCTTCTCCTTCAGGTTCTACTGCTGCTGGCTGGGCTGCTAGCGTCCCCCCGTGACGCGCCCTTAAAAAGCACAGTCTTAGCTCAGCTGAATCCCATCTACCTATGCCCACACCTATTCCAGGTGCCCGCCATCAGGCATGCATTCAGACAAGGATCCATCATCTATCCTGAGGCGGAAGGCAGAAAGCCTGATATTTTCTTTACCCTACAGTCCACCCCCTCAGGTTTTCTGCCATATAGTCTATACATATATATACAATTTCTAAGCAAACAAACAATGCAGCCATGGCCCACAAAAGCAAATACATCAAATAACAAAATACACATACAAAATACAACAGAACACAAATAAGTCCAGGCAGGGCACCAACCAAGTGCAAAAGACAATTATTGGTACCAGCAGATGAGCCACCAAATCTGCTGCCGAAGGCACTGCTCATATGAGGGAGGGAATCACTCACGGCATCTACTATAACATACCAGGAGCCGTCAGGCTTCCTGGCTTCTCTGGCTGTCGTCTAGGCTACAAGGCACACAGCATCCACCCCAGGATGCACTAGCTCTGGGATTGCAATTTTATTCTGTTGGGGTAATCACCACCCTCAGGGTTTCTGTCTGCAGTCGCTCCAACACTCGGCCTTCATGGCCACCATGCGACTCACAGACCCCTGCACTCAAGCCAACCACTGCACAATCACATGGGTAGGGGATCCAAACTCTGCATTCGGCTTGGGCTCCACCCCAAGCCACATTTCCCCACCCGTCCCCAAGGACAGGTTCTCAGCTCCTCACCTCGCTAAGAATGAGCAGGGCATCACCCACAGGTGATTTTACGAGACTCACAGTTCTTCAGCATACCCAGGCTGCTTAACAGCCGCTCAGGGCTTCTCAACTTATCATCAGTACCAGCTTGCTTTCTCAGTTGGCTTTCTCCTCCACCTGGCCACTGGCATACACAGCTGCTTTGGCCATCTAGGCCCACTGGCACCCCCAGATTCTCAAAAATAAACATAACCTGCTAAGGTCCTCCGCCTTCTGGCAGGATTGTCAGTCCAAAATCATCAGTTCATCAGTCTATCAGTCCATTGGCCTCTCCTGCTTCAGCAATGGCCTGCTGCTCAGGGGTCATTGGCTGGTCCTTTCCGGTGTCGTTGCTGGTCCTATTCCGGTGTCGTTGGCTGGTCCTCCGTGTCGTTGGCTGGTCCTTTCGGGCGTCTCCTTCACGCCAGGTCTCATCCTGTAGCTCGTGGACGTATCCATCTTCTATACCGCCATGTGCCTCCAGCGTCGTCACAGGCAGTCTGTTCTCCTGTCCCTCCAGGTCTTCGGAGGCTCCAATACCCGTCTGCATGGATCTTGCCGACTTACGCCAATTGTAGGGGCAGGACAGGGCACAAGGCAGGTTTTCTGATCCCATGCAGACCGGGTAAAGGAGGAGTCAGAGTCCTCAGTGGATTTGCAGGTCTTTAATTGGGGTTCACCAGGCAATGGCAGGCAGGGGTGCTGGCTGGGGGCTGGGAGGCTGGCAGGCCTCCCAGCCCCCAGCAAGTCTTTATCTGGCTCTCTGGCGTTCTCTGCTTCTGCTTCGGCTTCTCCTTCAGGTTCTACTGCTGCTGGCTGGGGCTGCTAGCGTCCCCCCGTGACGCCGCCCTTAAAAGCACAGTCTTAGCTCAGCTGAATCCATCTACCTATGCCCACACCTATTCCAGGTGCCCGCCATCAGGCATGCATTCAGGACGGATCCATCATCTATCCTGATGGCGGAAGGGCAGAAAAGCCTGATATTTTCTTTACCCCTACAGTATCCTTACTCCTGTTAATTCTTGTCCTTTACCGGCAGCAGTGTATTTGTACGTAAGCTGAAGAGAGCAACAGAGTGGCTTTTCTCTTTCTTAGGTTTAAATCTTTCCCAGAAGATGACGAAAACCCAGCATTAGCTCACGTGCTGCTGGCAACTTAGCACCACTTTGCCCTCGTGCAGGTTGCTCCACTTCTAGTTCCTTCCAAAGACTTAAGGACACTGGACTTAAGTCGAGACACCTGAGTTTAATTCTCCTTTGCTGTTAGGGCCAGGCTGCAGGACAATGGAGCAGGTCACTTGATTCCGTTTCTCGTGGCCTACTTCTAGGAGGCATTAGTGGGTTCTGCTGTGTTTGGAAATGGCTTGTTTAGGTCATTTGAAATTGCAGTCTAGGTCAATTGTTTGCTGAACCAGTTGAGCCTTTCTAGAACATCTGAGAGTCAAGAAGTCAAGGAAGGACTTGAGGGAGGTAGAGGGAGGAGCTGCACAGAGAATAACAATCAACTGGGTCAAATCGCTTATGTTTTCAGATATTTGTCAAAAAACGGCGTCTTGTGCTTTTTCGGAATTGTGTCTTTACATACTTTCTGTTTGTAACTGCCCTGTAAGATTCCTCCTGCATCCACCCAGTAATTGTTGGATTTATGTAATTTCCATGTCTTGAATGTTGTAAAAATATGTAAAGAAGTTGGAGGCGGTGTTGAGGAGCCTGAAGGCTTTCTGCTGAGTTCAGTTATGTAGCAATCAGCAAATACTTAGCATCTGCAGTGTATTAAGTATTGGGATTGAGATACCCAGGGTAGCAAGACACAGACCCTTGTGCTTAAGTTTATTGGATCAGGTTCCATCCAGGGAACGTGTTTGAACTCCTGTTTGCATGAGGCTCAGTTCTTAAACTGTGTAAGATGCAGACTCACGGTTAAAAGGTTAAAAAGTGATAAGTACCCTAACTTGGTAGAAGCAGCAGTTTGTTGCTTTAGATTAGGGTGGGGAAGGTTTACTGGGAATCTGGGAACTCATGGGGGTGTTTTAAAGGAAGGCATAGAACCTTGTCAGACTGGAAACAGTTGAGAAGGCTGAACCCATGAGGCGACTTGTTTGGCTGGAGTGGGGATTTCAGTTCGAGTAGGATAGGCTGGAGGCCAGGAAAGCAGGGTGGGGCCGTGGATTATCTCCTGGGCAGAATCACCCAGATTTTTCAGCAGAAGCCTGCTATTATGGGAAAGAATAGTGGAGGAAGAGTATCTGA